AAGTCTCATAACTTCATGGGGCACTGGAACAGTTTCACAGAGAACTTGTTGATGTTCCGTCCCCCGAACCTTCAAGACCAGGTTGGATGTGTGGGGTTCTGAGCAACCTGGTCTAGAGGAAGGTGTCCCTGTCCATGGCAGGGGCATTGGAATTAGATGATCTTTAAGGTGCCTTCCTACCCAAGCCATTCTATGATTCTGTGATTGTGAGTAGTCTAGACTTCTCCCTCCAATTAATATTATTTTGTGCTTTAATCACTAAGCATGACCTGCGTTTGCCCTGTCAGCTCTTCACTACTCTTCTCCAGCTATCATTGCTGTTCCCCACGGTTGGAACTAAGTTTTGGCTCCACTAAGTAAACTCTGATCATCAAAGTTTGCAAATTCTTGTGCTTGTCCCTCTTTCTAGATACATCATGCTTGTGTTGGAGGCTACTTTGCACGGGTGCCAATCCCCTGAAAACAGGCCCATTAGAGAGCAGCAGCATTCATTAATCCTCTAACATATAATGCAGACCACAAGGAGCTTTCCAAGGGATTTGGCAGGGGCAGGCAATGCTTTGAGTGTGTTTGTGAAAGATCTGCTGTCTGAATGGAGTCACCTCAGATTTCTTGCCCCTAGAGAAAAAAACCTCTACACACACACACATGGAAGGGATCATCAGCATTTACAGAGGTTTGGGATTTCTTCAAAAAGTTGGTAACAAGATTGTGTAAGAATCAAATAACCTTGCAAATAGCTGTATCCCATTAGTCATGAGAGCAAGTGCTGGGCTGAATTAAATGTTTATTGTGTCTTATGAAGTGTCTCTGTACACATAACCTTGGGCAAGACCCAGAAATTCTGGGCTCTGCATTTGAAAGGCAGCTGGCTAAATAGCCATGGCAAAATAATCAAAAGAGCACTGTTTATTTGCTCAATACATTAACCAAGTGATTAGCTGAGAAATGGGAGAACCAGAAGAAAGAAGAAACGTTTCCCTTTGTGTGCAGTCTATTTATCAGATTTTCCACCACCATTACACATTCCTGGAAAACAAAACTAAGCTCAGAATGCCTCAACTCAATCATAAAAGCTTTCCCCAAACTGAATGATCCTCTCAGTGCATTGCTCAGACCTTCATGCAGCTCTTACTCCCTCTGTCATAAAATTTGAAAGGCAGCGAGATAATCATGCCTAACTTACAAGCCTGTCTTATGAGAAGTAAACATTAATTCAAGAGTTCTGGAGGACTTCAAGCAACCAAATCTTTGTGCCTTCTTGCTATTTAGTTATTCCTATATCTCCCTTTTAGCATCTGAGACTTTCACAGGTGACTGCTTCTGATTTGAGACAATGAGTAAATCGGCTGTACATTGTGTTATTCGTGATGTAAGCTGGTTCAAATAAAATATTTAATTCTGTTTGAGAATTCTTACTTCCATTTGTTCCCTCCTGGTTGTCCAGGCTCCCCACTCAGTCCTTCCTAAGTTACTGTACCTCATATTCTCAGGCATTAATAATTTGCAAATTCTTTCTGAAGACCTCTTACCTGCTGTGGTTACTGTGCTCTTAGCTTTGTAGCACACAGGGAAAGAATGTTTTTCTTCCTCCTTGGGACAATCATAGAGAAACATTTTTCATCTCTTTCTCTACCAAATCTCTAATTAATGTTAGATCACTTTCGGAAGATCACACCCAGGTAACCCAGGAATCCCCTCACTAATGGCAACGAGCTGCAAAACAAGTGCTTACAGAGTGTGCGAAATGCTAATAAGCAATATTGAATTTCTCACTTTAGGTGTAGAACAGGAGTAATCCTCTAAGGGCCATGAAGATAGTGATGGATAGAGCGTCAAAGCACTGGATTTAGGGCCATTTGAGGCACCGTAGGATGCCCTTGCTGTTCACCAGTCTCTGCTCTCAGTGCCCCATTAGTCCTGCATCATCTACCAGGTCTGTGTAGATGTGCCCAAGACTCTCAGCTGTCTAAATGACATTACAGAGTCTCTCTGGGCCTTTGTCCCCCACCATGACCTCTGCTGGGATCAGACCCTGGTCATATCAAAGCCAGATTTAGTACTTTGCATCTGGGTTTTGGGCATGAAAGATAGCATGAATATACAGCCTAGGGACACAGCACAACCACAGCACCTGCCTGTGCGTGAAGCCCATACAAGCAGTAGCCCACAACCAGCCCTGCAGTGAGGAGGGACAGGGCAGGGAGTGCCAGTCCTCCCTTTGTGCCTTTAAGCAAGGGATGGATTAGGCTGCAGCTGCCACCACCTCTGCATGGTCCCGGAGAGGGAGCAGAGGTGTGAGGTGCGATATTTAGACCAGAGGGTTATTAAATGACTCAGATGTTGGCAAGAGTTGATAGAACTGAACTGACACAGGGCTGTTTTCTAGATTGAGAAAAAGAGTGGGGCTTTTGTGGGAAGAAGATCTAGGCTATCTGTAGCCAGGCAGGAGCATCTCTGTAGAAACATGGAGAAAACAACACCCTATCCTTCAAGTACACTCAGCAATGAAAACAGCACTTCTACTGATTAAAGCATAATAAATGTAATGAAAAACATAGTAAGCCATTAGTGGATGCTACCTGTTATGCATTTTTTTAAGCCCTTTGAATGTTGATAACTGTTTTTCCCTTCTAGAAAATCTCTCTACATTATTGCTATTTCCCTTACTCACCGCATTTGCAGTCATCACTTGTAAATTCAAGTAATGAATTTGTGAGGAGCCTGGATGGCATAATAATGCTATCTCGCACACTAACACAGCTACCACCCAGCAATCCCAGGATGCTTAACCTGTGTAAGTGGATTAAGCCTCGCAGTGTTCTGCTTTGTGGCAAGAGAGTGAAAGTCCCTACAAGCAGAACAGAAACCCTTTAGGGCACCATATTTCTGAGTCTCTGGGGCACAAGTGTACAAGCTGATTTGGTACCAACCCAACACCTCTAGGAAGTGTCAGATCTGCTCTGCATGACTGTGCAGACAATCTGCACATGTTCTGTAAATCTGCCCCACCGGGATGTGTTTGGTTCCCAGCACACAAACTGGTTATTGCACGTGCAGAAAGGTATAGTAGTTTGTAGTTTCAGTGCTCCCACATGATGGTCCAGTGCTCAGGATATGTGCATAAAGTCCGCGCAGTACTTCCAGAAAACATCAGAACAGCTGATGGTGTGAGCAGTTTGTGCAAGACAAAGCAAGGACTATCATCCTTTGCTCTATATGTTCACAGAGGAACAGAACCCTACGAAATTAGCCTCCTGGAAAATGTTGGACCCCATTGCTCACATGCTATGCAGCAGATCTGTGCATGTGTTATAAAAATGTCAAGGGGATTCAGCTGTCTGGCATCCTGCTCAGATTCCTAAGTACAAAAAGAGACATCAATAACTGAGATGCACATTAGCTCTAATCAGAGCACAGGGAAGCAAAAGAGGAGCAGGAGATGGTTAAACTGTTCACCATGAAACATTTAACAGTAGAGCTTCAACATTATAAATCTGCCTGACATCACTGATACTACATCAGTCAACACAATAACACTGATATTAATGTGTTTATTATGAAAGGACTAGCAAAGTGAGTTGTCTTACTCTCAGACAGCACTAAAATCAGGTCAATAAGGATATCTGCAATTCTGAGCACTTGAATAGCTCCAAAAGGAGCTACTTTTACATATCTTGCTGAACTGGAACTTGATTCAGAAAGCAGAACCTACTACAGCCAGAAATATGTATGGAACTATATTCCATGCATTTTCCTCCACATACTGAACTGGGAAGCAAAACATTGATTTCTAGCACATACCCTACCCCAGCATCACTGATGCAGCCAGATGCCTGCTGCAGTGTAAATGTTCACTGAATTATTGAAACCCCTGTAATGTTGTAAAGGAAAATGTTAATCTTAACAAGACCCACACAAATGCCTGCAAACCCAAGAAATCAATTGTAAATAGATAGATAGAAAAAAATGTGTCTTTATTTTCGTTTCAGTGATCTGTGTGGCCCTGCAGTGAACTCTAATTTTGAAAGGAATTAAATAATGCTTTGCAACTGGTCAGAAAACACAAATCCATTTGCAGAATTTTTTAAATATCACAGATGTTGTCCTGGTATAACAATGGGAAAAAAACCCCCACCATATTTTTGAAGCTATTTGGAAAAAAAAAAAAAAAAAAGAAGGTGTTTTTTAATAGTACACAAAGCTTTACCTGAAATATTACATGCACATACCAAGCCATCACAAAAACTACAAATGTCATGAATCTGTTTATTACTGAGAAGGATTATCTGAAATGTACACTGTGTTACAATGCCAGACAAAGTGCAGTAAATTCCTTCTGCAAGGGAGCTGCATAAGTTTCATCACGTGGTGCCCCTCATGCCTTCTTAGGAAAAAAATAAAAAAGGAAATTGAAAATTTGCTTCTTTAGCAAGAATTTTGTTTAGGGAATGATGGTCTAGCGCTGATAGGCAAAGAATGAACCAGTTTCTTTCAGCCATATATCTCTGCTGTATCAACTCTGTGGAAACTGCTCTATTCTAATTCCTCAGCAATATCCCCCTGTGCCAGCCCACAGGAATGTCGTAGAGGAAGAGAATACTCCCAAGGTCTCCATATCTTTGGTGTCAAACAGGAGTGGGGTTCAGAGGTTGGCTGGAGGACAGAAACAGGAGCCAGGGTGCCCAGGAAGCACAGGCATCCAAGGCAAACTGAAGCACTGCTTCTCCTACACACTTCCCAAAATCAGCAATGAAAGGCACAGGTTTAGGGAGAAGTTTATGTCAGTCATATCACACCATACAAGTTCCAGCACAGCTACATGTAAACTGTGCCATGCCTATGCTGCTGGTAGAGCCAATCATTAAGGTACTGCCTTGGAATGTTTTCCATGATGCTGTCCAATAGGACAGCCAGCTTGGAATATCTAGGTGAAAAGCAGCTTCTGAAATGGGGTCTTATTGTCTTGAGCATTTTCACAAATGTAATGCAACATTATGCAGCAAACTGTACGGTTTTATTAAAATATCATTTGTTGCCTTGATCCTTTCTGAGGAAGACCTACGTATTTGAGGACCAAAATATTCTGCCAGTGAAGAATATTTTTCTCCTGGCAGGAATCCAAGCATCAAAATGCAGGTTTTTGTAGCTGTGGTGAGTAATCTGTCAGCAGGGAAACCATGACAGCCTAGAGGAGGAAGAAAAGAAAAAATCCAATCACATTGGAAACAGATACTCCATAAAAATAAATAAGGAGGAAATATTTTCCAGCTCTGAAACCTTGTGTTAAAAATTATTGTCCTGACAAAAACTGCACACTTAGATTTATTTGCTAGAATTTCTGATGATGAATCAGGAAAGAGCTGAAAATCAGTTTGGATGTTTGGTATTGTGGCTGATAGATTTTCTCAGTGTGGACAAAATATATTAATGGACAGCTTAGGAGCAATTCCGACAGGCATTTAGATCAAATGTTGAGGCTTTTTTGTCATGTTGTGTTGTATTCTCCGTTAGTTCTAGGAGGTGCTGTAGGTACCCAGACATCACATAGGCTTGCTTATGGAGTTCAGCAGAGCTTCCATTAGCATCAGAACGGATGATCCATCCATTAGAATAAGGACTTTGAAATTTATCCCAGTTTAGCTATACTTTCTGTGGTAAAACATGGAGAATCCTGATGGTGTGTCATCTACCCCTCCTGCCCTCCCTGCCCAGTCTTGAGTATGGCTGTGGGATGAGAGTAATGGGAATGTCAGCCAAGTGAAATGTGGTGTTGCAGCAGCTCTGCTGCCAGTCCCCCACCTGTGTAGATAACAAGCCCTGTGCTTTGACAAGGTACTACCTGGTTCACACTGTTGTGATTTCACAGCAGTGTCTGACTGCAAATTGGTTTTTTGGCCCAGAACTGGATCTGTGAGTGTTCCCCAAGGGTTGTGATCTTGTTGCTTGCCCTCCCTTTCCCTTCAGCACTGCTCAGTGTGACAGGGCATCCCAGGCACACAGAGGTGACTGAATATACAGCTGTGCAGCCCCTCAGTGCTGCCCATGTCACAGCTGCACTCAGACCTGGTTGGAACTACAGCCAAGCAAATAATTTATTCTTCAGTTTGCTCTCTGAGCTGAAAGTGGTAGAAAATGCAATATAAAGAAGACCCATACATTCATTATTTTTATAGCTTGAGAAAAATACAGAGAGGACATTTTTCTTACGCCCGCAAAAAAAAGTGCATCTGGAACTCAAAATAAAGGGTTCTTTTTCTTAAAAAAAAAAAAAAAATATTTAGGGCAGTTAGAAACATTGTAAAATAAAAATGAAAAAATATGAGCACTTCGTTGAATTTCAAGATCAAAGCCATAAATTTAACACAAATTTGCTAGTAATTTTGACCATGTCCAAAATCTGAGTTTTCAGTAAACACAATACTCAGTCTGTTATTTCTTCCCTTGGAGCATATCTAGAGTTTACCTCAGATTCATGACAATGACATTTCTGTGTTTTTCTCCTCTATGAAAGTCTTCACTATCTTTTGTCAACGTGATGGTTCTAACGCCAAAAAATAAATAACAGGCTACTGAGATCTGACAGTAATTTGATGAAATTCTAGGAATGCTGAGAGGGGAGTTATGGTTTATGTTGAATGCCAAGTGTCCTCTTACGGTTCCCATGGATTACATGGTGTTACCCACACCATAACTTTTCAGGGTCTTTCAAACCTATGCTCTTCCAGCATTTTTTCAGGGAAGTTCCCACTGATGTCAGCAGCAGTTTTTCCTGAGAGAAAATAACTAGCTTTAAGTATTTGGGGACCTAGTTTCTAAGACCAGTCCCTGGGACCCCAGCATTTATCATGGTTTAAAATTGAGCATTTGAGTTGATATTTAGAGTAAATCCAGTGATTTAAATACAAAACCATTACAGTTTATACTGTAGATTTCACTTAGTGGTAAAAGCTGGGTCAAGCAACAGCAGATCATCAGCAAAATAGGTCACATTTGTGTCCAGAAGTATTTGTGCTACAGATATATATGTTGTCTATAGTCAAAATTGTCATGTGCTCTGGGGTGCACTTGAAACATATATTTTAACATTTACTGTTTATCAAAGAATCAAGTTGAATTCAAGCCTGTAATGCAAGGCGGAACAGAAGTTGACCCTCCAACTACTGATATCTTCTGTTTTTACCATAATTGTCCATTTTCTGTTTTCAGCCTCCTGGAAAACCAATGAGCGTGGGGAATAAAATACTTCATCATCAACTTCTTCAGGTTTTCTGGGTAAACAGTGTAAAAAAGTCCAGTTGGAAGCAGCAGATTTTGCGATCTGTAGATGAAAAAGCATATGAAAATAAAGACATATGTGAGGACATTAATAAAATCTTTAACAAATAAAAAAGTTAAATTTTGTAGTAACTCCCACTCTGGTTATTTGTATGATGAACTCAGAAGAATTCCACAGATCTCAAAAGAATTCCTCATTTATTAATAAGATGGGAATTTGTCCACTCAAGTCAGTAAGAGTTCAATACCAGCTTGACATAAGTCCGATATTCACTCATATTTCTCTGGGTTTGAAGGGGAGTAAAAAGTCCACTGATCCAGTGGATCAATAGAGTGCAATCTTTTTTTTAAAGCAATACAGTAATATAATACTATTTATAATTGCAACAAGAACATACTAAACAACAATTTTAAAGGCTGTAATTTTTTTCATTTTATGTTACTACTCATTATATATTGATCTAATGCCAAGGAAATATGAATTAAATTTTAGACCAGAGATATGTCCATCAACAGTATTTAGTGAACTTACGTTAAAGTGCAGACACTTAAACGAGTAATAATTCTCTCAGGAAGAAAAATGTCCTTTTTATCTTGGTCAATTAGTAGGTTATGGTTTTACATTTTCTCTAACTGATTTTGTGCTGACAAATATTTCAACTGGATGATTTTAAAGATACATATTTAGTGATTTATTCACTGACGGATAAACACAAATTGACCCTAATGCTACTCAGGCATTTAAGAGTTAATCTGTAAGCTTCTCATTCTAAATGAAATATAAGGGATCATTTCTGGTAGCAAAAAGGAGATGCAAAATTAGAAACAGTTTTTAGGCCATAGAGAAATAAAGGGTTAGCTCTGCTTCACATGTTCTGGAGCTAGGTCTCATTGGGAAGCTCTGAAAGAGGCCAAGCCTTGTGAAGTGTATAAGATAACTCAAACTTTGTTCTCCTTGAGAGTTTTTTAAGCTGGAGGGAGGTTTGCATGCGGTTGTTCCATGGCCACACTCAAAAAAATACCAAACTACTGCTTTGCTGATGTTGATTCTTATAAATGCAAACTGTAAAAACGTAAGCAGAAAATATTCTTATAAATGCAAACTGTAAAAACATAAGCAGAAAATATTCTTATAAATGCAAACTGTAAAAACATAAACAGAAAACTAAATCTCAATTTTTACCTGCATTGTAATCTGATAACCTTGAAATGCCATTAGTCTTTCTTTCTTTTCTTCTTCTTGTCCCATACTTATCCATGTGTCTGTAACTAAGACGTTGGCACTGTCTGCAGCTTCTAAAGGATCTGTTGTCAGAAGTAACTTGGTACCATACTAATGTGAATAAAATAAAGAAGATCAGTAAGACAAGGAACTTCATTTATAATGAAAATTAGCTCTATTCAAACAATTCTACAAGGCTATTTCTTAGGCTCCTACCTCTTCAGAGTATTGTTCAGTTATTTTAGTTATTCCTTGGTCTGGTTCGAAGCCCTGCCAAAAGAGATAACAGTTAATATATCATGGAACATTTGTAAGATCTTTGCTGCTTATTAATGCTGGTTAGAAAAATACTGATTGAACCATTTGCCATGGGGAGAAGAATGTCTTTCAGAACTGTAAAATTTGGGGAAATTATGTTGGTTTTGCTGAAAGTTTATTTTGGAGATAAAGTGGTGGAAAGTGTTCTGATAAAGTAAAAAAATGTATTTCAGTAGTTACAGAATGAAATACCTACATATCACTTAATTTTTTGTACTAAACTGAGTATTTGCTTTGTATTTTATATTGTATTACAATGCAACATTCTAAAATGCTGGGCCATCCATCTGAACCAAGCAAGAGGCAACATTTCCACCAATCTGAAACAAGTTTCAATTTTTTTGGGTAGGAGAGAGAGCACTGAATGACTCTGAACACTTTATCAAATGGAATTTTAATTCACTCATACTGCTATCATGAATTCCCCTCAGCCTTTCTGAAGTTGGACTTGGTAGAACTACTCCTCCTTTGCATCAAAATAACTGGATCAGGATTTTGAACCTTGGTTCTGAAAACTGGCACTCAAAACATATGCAAGCATCACCAGCTGAGGCCTTTGGCAAACACCTGAGTGGCTGAGACAAGAACAGGCAAAATTTGCTTTCCTTCCTCCATGTGCAGGGCTTCCTTACCTTGGGAGTTGCAATGCGCAGGTGCATTCCCAGCTTTGCAGCACTTGTCATGATGGAGTGGAGGACATTGTTTCCATCCCCAATCCAGGTGATGGTGAGCCCCTTCAGCCCACCATAGTGCTCCTGTCAAAGGAATCAGAAGCTCTGGAGTTACGTTCCAGATGAGCCCAGCAAGCTGATGGGCGAGAGGGATTGATCAGGCGGGTCTGATGCAAAGTCAGCTGGCTACCTTCAAATGCTACCTGCATGGAACCACACCTGGAATTTACTGCACCTGCAGGATGGTCAGGGAGGGAAAGCCCCCCATGTCTTACATAAAGGCCCAAGTGTGGCAGCTTCCTCCACTGCTGGGCTCTGGAACAGGCTCCCGAGGGCAGTGGTCACAGCACCAAGCCTGACAGAGTTCAAGAAGCATTTTTATGATACTCTCAAGCACGTGGTGTGACTCTTGGGGATGGTAATGTGCAGGGCCAGGAGTTGGACTCAATGGTCCTTGTGGATCCCTTCCAACTTGGCATATTCTGTGATCCTGTGACATGTTGGCACATATGCTGTATGGTGAGGCCCAGGCTCACACCACACACAGAGTCACTTTAACACCAAAGCTGTACAGCCATTTGTTGGTGCTCATAAACATCAGTGAGAAGCAGACATTTCTAGTTTAAAGACAGTCCTAATGCCTAGAATAGAACTCCTTCCAGCTTTTCCCCAGATTGTACAAATATCCTTATTCAGGTTTGCTCTGGCTTGGTTGTCTCTACACGATGTTCCCCTTGGCCATGGCAGTGGCCTTGCCCTTGGAATGCATTTTCATCATCACAGCTGCACAGGACAGAAAAGAGCAGCACTCTAAAAGCAGCTGTGCCACTCATGGCCTGCAGCGTTTGTTCTCCACTGCACAGTCAAAGAGGGCAGGGTTTTGTTTATGGGTGTGGATTGCCCAAACTTGAAACAGCATTACAGAGTTAACTACAGCTTTGTCTGCTGGCTCTTACAACCTGTTCATGTGCAGTTACTCTGACCCTCAACTCCAACAGATAAGGCCTAAGGAGGAACAAGAATAACAGGAGTTTTGTATTCCAGAGCAGGACAATTCAAGGCTCTTTACCAAGCTTTGTTTTAAGTATACATGTTTATAGGTACTTAGGTTGATATCAAAAAGTTTGTGAAGACATAGCCAAGTACTTCTCTATGCCTGCTCTGTACAGCTCTGCCTCATGGCTGGAAGGACTCTCTGGAGAGCCTTTTATTCTTAGTTCAAAACTGGGCTGTGCTACAATTGCATTGTAGTAGCTGGAAGCCAGACAGTGCTTCAACACTTTGTGTGACATGAATCAGTGCTTGTCAGAGAGGATAAGCATCCACATTGTAGAGCTGTACTAACTGGCACCCTTGCAGGAGATGCAGAAAAGATGCCAAAAAACTGAACAGGAAGAGGGCAGGGACTACCCCCTCCTCTCCTGGCAGCAGCTTCTCCTGAACAAATAGTTGTGAAGTTAGTCCAGAACAAAGTTATTGGCATTTCTGCCAGGGACCTCAAGTTTGAATCAAAAATATTAGTACTTGAAATACTGAACTATACCAAAATGCTGTAAAAATCTAAACGTGGTAGAGTCCTAAGCTGACTAGGTTTAAGGGTTAAAATTACAGTATTGTAAAACTATCACTTTTTCAGTTGAAGTTTGTTAGCAGCAGGCTCATTGGCAAAGGTTTGATGCAAGGGCATTTACAGGAGACCAAATCAGGAATTTGTGGACATGAAAGTTATTTCAGTATAACAGTTCTACATGTCTCTAAGGATCTTTCAAAGTCCTTCCACATCTCCTAGCAATAGCACTCCTAGGAGAAGGTCAAACTGAAGCATATATTTAAGGTGTTGTTTCAATTTAGGGCTGAGACATGAACCCACAGCCAGGAGCAAATGAGGCAGTCCTGAGTTCTTTTCATCTTACTGTTTAAAAATAGACATCACAGCCAGTAATGCTCAAAGCATTGACTAGAGTCACAAATATACTGCTATGTTAAACAACTTCCACCTTATTGCCAGCTGCTACTCTGCATTAAAAGAAGCACAGTGCATGCTAAATACTCTTCTCTGTTCTCCCAAGCTACTAGCTGTTACAGATAAAATATGAAGTACTGGAGATGTCTGCATAATGATCCTTGATATACATTACAAATTGCAAAGCCACGTCTGCAGTGATTACTGTGTAGAGTGGACATAGCTGAACTGATCTTAATGAAGATGTTTTGGTAATGGCAGGAGTCACACACAAGGCAGAGTCAAGCTGTGTGTGTGCTGGTGGAGCCTATTTTACATCCTGTGCTTTGTGCTGCCACTGGTGCACTGCTGCTGTGACTCAAACCTCTTCATCTAAGAGAAGCTCACTGTGACTGTGACTGTACTGCTTATATGCACACATACTCAGGTTCCATGAAAGATGTGTTAGTCTGTATTAGTCAAAACCAGAAAGCTTTGAGGCAATAAAAAACCTACTGTATATGAGACATACTTCACCCCCACCCTCCATTTTATAGTATGTTCTTATAAAACCACACAGATAAAATCCTGCTAAAAGTGTTTTGCCATGATGGTAACACTCCAGGTTAAATCAGAACCTTTACAACACCTGCTGCTCACCAAAGCCTCTGGAGATATTTTTCCCCTTGCAGCCCTTCCCAGTTTTACCGAACTCTTTTATGTTGATCTCAGCTTTATACCTGCTTGGGTGTTTGCAGTTTCTCTTTACATTTGGAACATGACTTTAAAATATTTACACTCCTTGTAAAGCCACAGAAAAATTTAACATATTTAGAAAGCCTAGAGTCCTTCTCCCTTATGGATGCTTCTTTGGCCAAATAGTGATTGCTGCTGTAAGTGCCATAAAACATGGCTTTGCTATTCTCATGAAAAATCCCTGTTAAATAATTAATGCTGATTTTACGTTCAACTTTCTCATCCTCATGTTGTTTTTACAAGATTTCATTCTGTTCTTATCTATGGGTGCTGCGTGTCAGTGTATCCAACCCTGGGAAAAAGTGAGCATGTTCAGTGTTCTGGCACTGCTGTGTTTATGGAGAAGACTGGGTTAACTAATTAGGGACATTTGTGTCTGCCTCTGCCTGGACTTGCTTCCAGTGAGGCTGAAACTCTGACACCGTCATGGGTTAATTCTGAAATGTTTGACCACAACTGTCATAACAGCCCTCAATTAAAACAAGCTTTTGAATAATGAATCAATAATCTGTCAAGTTTTAAAATGGAAAGCTAGGGACTAATCAAAGCTTTAGCCCTTTGGGATGCAGTGCGATCCAGCAAAGCAGAAACAGGGCAAACTTGGATCTACCGGCTCTCAAACTGCTTAAGGCAGATACTGGGCCAGTTATCTTTCATATTCTCACACTGGTTTTTGTCATGGTGGTTGAAACAGTATATTCTAGAGGATCATTCCAAATCTTAATTGGGATATCTAATTGTTAGAATAATAATGATGATGATGGTGATGAATTTGAAGACTCTAGTGATTTGAGGTCTTTGGGTCACACACCGAGGAGGAGTTGGGAATACACAGCAGCTCTCTTCAAGCTGGGTACCACTATTTGTTATGCTGTTTAAATAGAAAGCTCTGATGCATTTCTTATGCCAACCATTGCTTTCTGAAAAAGCAAATTCCCTCCAGACCAGTGACATAAAAAGCTAGTGGCATATGGATCCACTTTAATTATCAGCCTGGCCATCCTGCAGTCAGCTACAAGTTAGCTGATTTGCCCAGTGACATTAATATCAATTGAATCAATGTCAATACACAGCTTGTGTCTGGAATACAAATTGTGTGATGCTGCCCTCCAGCCAAGCTGAGCAGAGCAGAAGTTGTGAGCCACAGCTTCTGCCTGGGACACCGGCTGGAATCAGCACGTGGCTGTTACATGTCTCCAGCACAAGCAGAGAAGTAAAGTAGCTCAGTGTGTGCACAGCACCAGCACACAAACTCATAGCCTATAAAGGCTAAGTCCCCAAACACTCAAAATCGTGTTGTTTACATATTTACAGCCATTTTTAGTGGGCTTTAACTCAAGAGCAGGCTCGGTTCAACCCAACTTTTTTAAAAAAAGGTAGTATATATGCTAAGAAATACTTTTCTCTTGGCATAATAGGGGGTATTAACCCAGACCACAGTGTTAAGATTATAAATCAAACATGTGAGGGGCTCCAGGTTGCTCAGGAGAAAGGCACTGGGCAAGAGGATGTTGAACCTGAGCAATCTCACCCAGTATTCATGACAGGAGCACACTCTATGATCTGAAAAGAAGACCCTGAATACAGAACGAGAATTGACAGCCCTGAAAATGAACCAGTTGCATTGTTTGTGGAATGCAGTGGACTATACTAAAATAACCACACTAAAATGCACCTATGCAAAGGGAATCAGAAGCTGTAAGCAAGAAAACATTTTATCACAAAAAACCAGGCAATTACACAGTTTCAGACGAAAGAGAAAGTGCTTGAAGAGGATTCAAGAAGGCACATGACAAAAGTAATAGAGTATAGAAAATGGGAGAATAAAAATGTGGTAAGCATGAAGAGGGCCAGAGTGTATGTAGTGCTCCACTGGCAAATGCATTAGGAACAAAAAGAAAAGAAAAAAATTACATTTAGGTTATTAAACGACAGCAGGGAGAAGCAGGAAAATATTCACAGGGATAAGGAAGAGACATTTGTTTAAGAGAAATAAGCTGCATAAAACCTGTAGTTACATTTAAATATAAGGTTACCAGTCTGTGCCCCTATTGTAGTTTGCCTATACGTATAAATCAAATAAATTGCCTTTGCATTGCAGGAAAGCAGTCCAAATGTTATATATGGACTTCCAGCTCACTTAAAAAGCAGTGGTACTATTCCACATCCCTGTATTAATCTTCTTGCAGGCAGTACTTGGATAACATCTTGCTGAAAATCCCATGAGAAGTTTGATTGTGGGAAGTAGCAACCAGACCCCGGGGTTCACATTTCTTCTGTGACCTGCTAAAGTTCCCTATATAATTAAAATGCTGTTTTAGTACGTGCCACTGACTGTAAGACTAGTCTTTTCCACCTTGCTGTACAATGCAAGGAGGAAAACAGGGAGTAGACCAGCAGGTCAGGAAGGGAAAGCACAGGCAGTGCCAACACACACACCAAGCTGCTGAGACCTTCCCCCTGCCTGCCCCTCTCTCCTCTTAAAAAAGCAAGAACAGAAAGTGTGTCAGCAACCAGCAGAGCAGTGTGCTCTTGGCAAAGTGGGGCAGCCACCCAGTTGCATTCTGAAGACCTTCTCACAAACTCTGGATTAGGGAACGTGAGGGAGAGAATCAGGAAAAAATGGGCAAAGTTGGAGGAAACACTGCTCTGCTTATCAGGCTGACTGTGCAAGTGCTGCAAATTTAAAAAAAGAACAACTTCCATGGCTGTCCAAAGGCTGAGCCACTCCTTGTGATCCCCGTAAGTGCTCACTTTGTCATGATACCTCTCCATGTCAAATGAAGTAGAGGACAACAGCGCTCTGAACCTGGGTGCTGTAGTCAGTGGCCTGGATAAAACCAGGTTTGGGGGCAGAGATACCCATATTTGTGAAGACTGTGAGTCACAGACTATTCCTGAAGCCTGTTATTCACAAGTGATAACATGCTAATTAATAAGGTGTTTGCAAGACAGAACACATTGTAAACCAGAACCATAAGATTCTCCTGGTTTACAGTTGCACATAGGGTTTAGAATGAAATGATGACATTCTCATCACAGCTTATTGTGTTATGTAGTTTGAACATTGAGTCTGGTTCAATGTGATCTCACAAATCTCCCTTATCCTGAGGCATGAGAAGCATCTTAGCCTGAAGTTCACCAATTTTTGCCGCCCTCTTCACTACGAGTATTAAAATTTTACAAAAAATAATGATAATTCAAATTAGAAAAAAGCAATTTTCACTAAACACATGATTCTTCCAGTATTTAAAGTTTAAAGCGTGAATAATTTAATATCACTCTCACCAGATCTTTCACACTTAATGAATGTCCCATAGCAAAGTCTTCGACAGCTGAGAAACACAGCCAAATGAATCAAGAAATTATTCTACCCTCCTGTTTTCAAGCTGTGTGATTTTTATTCATTCAGAAAGTAAACAAGGTCAGAGGAGTTCATCATAGTTGTCAACCAACACTGCAGTATAATCATAATAATAATCTTTTTTATAAGCCAGATCCTCAACTGATTGTAAAACCACATAGTCCTTCTGTTCACAGATAAACATCTGGTATTCTATGTGCAAAACGTTATCCTGCTGTCAAATCAACTATTGCATTGGATAAAACCACAGAATAAAATCTTTTTTAACAACTCTTTGATGTGAGCAAAGTTTAAATTGGTTTAAGTGCCAGAACACTAAATGTTTGCACTGGTAGCAATAACTGGCTTTTCAGAACAAATTTGTTCAACCAATTTCCTAATACATAGATACTGATTCTTTCTAAACTGTTCATAGATTAGTGAGGAATCAAGAGAGAACTACTGAGGGTTTTTAAGTCAGTGGAAAAACTTCCACTGGCTTTGGCTAAGCCATCTTCTCACCTTTATCTTAATATGTAAAGCCCCCTGACCATTTTTCATGTGTGTGGAATTGCAGCCTAATTCCAATGAAATAATTAATTTTATGCTTAACTTTACTCCCACTACAACTGATAGGGCTACATAATTATTTTAAAATAAAAAAGCTCTTAATTATATTGCTGGATGAAAATTTCTTTAAATAACAAATGCTGCCCAATTACCACTTAGAAAAACTTAGGAATAAATGGTTTTGAACCCGACTTCCCCAAATACTTAGCAAGGCTAAGACTTAGTAAAAAAAAAAAAAAAAAAAAGAAAAATTGGTTGGATTGTTACCTGAAGAGTTAGGTAATCAGCTAAAATCTGGAGAGGGTGGTATAAATCGGACAGTCCATTGATTATTGGGATTGTGGATTCTTTCGCCATTAGGTCCAGATCATTATGCTTATAAACTCGAGCCAAGATTGCATTTGTCATGCTGGACAGCACCCTGGAGATAGCAGAAAATACTCAAACATAATAAATATAGCCCTGTTGCACTTTTCAGCATGCAACACATGAATATTAATGAGAAATGGTAATGAATCAATATTTTTCAGCTATCTGAATAATTTATCATGCCTGCAGAACAGACCCAAATGTAGTCATTTAACAAGCTGCTAATAAGTAAGCAGTTTCACTTATTAACAGACTGTAGTAAGTAAATGAAAACTGCTGCTGTATTTTATGTTTTTTTTTCTCTTTGGAGTTTGATTGTAGATGTAACATCAATACATGTTGAGCTATCTGAACTAAGATAAGAGATTGTGTGAACTGTAACTTTTGAAGAATTTGATAACTTCAGAAGAGATAAGGTATAAGATTACTTCAGTCTTTTAGCAAAGAACAAATCTAGCACTGACTGAATATTACAGACTCTGCATGGTAGCCTGACCTTTGTGAGGATTAGAGTACAGATCTGCCTCAGATTGCCACACTTATTTGCTGATCTTAATTAAGACAGAAACAGCAGACCAACAACACCAGCCTTTTCTTTTTCCTACCTGCAGACCTTTGGATTGACACACATGGTATCAGCACTAAAATAATGCCCAAATTTGAAACTCAGTGTAAGGACAGGGGCAGGCAGGAGCCTCTGTACCACTGTGGCCTTAACCTCATTTGCCCAAGTGTGAAAGACAGAGATTGGCATAGTGGATTAGCATAGTATACTCTGAATTTTTTAGATAAATTAAATATGGATTGGAGCTCTTAATTTCCCTGCATTTCTGTGTTTTAATCAGGCCCTGAAGCCTGACTTTGAAGTAGCATTTTTTGTGTTTTCGCGTTATCTATAATACGACATTAAAACAAAACGTAGAAGAGACTGAATTAGAAGAGTATGAAAAAAAAAAAATCCTTGCAGTATCTGTCTTCCTGATTAGCCATGAAAAATTTTTGTATCTCTTCTTGTGGATATAAGGCTGTTAATACCGTGATCAGTGAAGTCTCCTGATGAAGTCAGTAACAAACATTTTCTATTGACACCAGATATTCCTCACACAATCAAAACTCATAAAATGTTACAAGATTGCCTGTAGAGCTCTCTCTGAAGAAAAGACTGCCAATAGTAGCTAAAGTGAAAAGGAAAGTGAAACCCGAGCAAGGTATTTACTGATTACAGTGCTCTGGAACAGTTTCTGTTTGTACCATTATTTCTCCTTGGCTCATGAGTTCCTTTCTCTGTGGAAAACCTGTTAAGTTCTGAACTAGTCATCAGAGGTTCCTTCTCACATGTGTCCACCCTAAACAAGACAGCCAATTCCATCAGCCAAGGAAAAGAGGCAGTCACACTGGGAAATTGCCTATTTTCCTTAGACTTTTTTTTTTTTTTTTTTTTTTTTTTTTTTTTTTTTTTTTTTTTTTTTTTTTTTTTTTTTTTTTTTTTTTTTTTTTTTTTTTTTTTTTTTTTTTTTTTTTTTTTTTTTTTTTTTTTTTTTTTTTTTTTTTTTTTTAAGCTATCAGGACAGCTGATTCCTATTTGATGCAATTGATAAAGAATTTAAAGATGGTTCCTTTGCAAGGTATGCCATTAGAGGAAATTCAGTCATAATCACCAAATAGTGAAAACTGCTGGATTTTCATCCTTAATCTGTTAAAAGTAGATACTAAACCCATTACACACTTACCAGGAAGATATCAGACAGTCCTTCTGCCAGCATTTCTAGACATCATATCTTATAGTAGGAAACCCAGGTGGAAAGTGGGTTTATTCTTTGTGAAATCAAAACAAAATTAAACTCAGGGGAAAAAAAAAACCCCAAACAAATAGACTTCACCTGGAGGTCTCTGATTACAGGAGAATGATGAAGTCTTCTGTAATCAAATTAGTTTAAAGCAAACCGTGTAAGGCTGGAATTGCATAGGGAAAAGGACCTGAATAGATAAGAGTCTTTAGTAAAGATGAAGTTTTGGAAGGTGAGGGTGGGTAAGCACAGATTATTATGTGTCTTTACATTTAAGGTTCTTATCTTTCTCTCTTTTCATTCTTTTTGCAAGACTGTGAGACTATGAACTTCAAAATCCCAGAGCCTGGAAATATATTGTATTGGAATGTGGAGTGTATTAGAGTGCTGCATATCTCTCTTTTCAAAGTAACTTTTATTTCTAAAGAGAAAAATTGGATATTTTTTTTTTCTCAAGTGTATCCTCTGAGGAATCCAAAATTAAACAAAAAGTATACCCTTTTGGTCTGGCAGGTCTCTGAATTTGAAAAGGAGGCATTTATGTATTTTTGCATAGAACAGAATTTACGTACATTTTGCATAGAATACTGCTATTTAAGGCAGTTTTGCTTTTATTTTGAAAATATATATCCATTTAAAAGGTTTAAACTTCTGACTACTTCACTGTCACTCACAGTCTTACAAGGGCAGAGGGTGGATGTGCTCTCAGCAAGCAGTGAGAAGTAAACCCACTCCCCATAAATGCAGAGATTCATCCCCTAATAATTCCAGTGGACTGCTAAAATCATTCAATGAGTTCTGCAGTGCTGTCACTGAACCTGATGGCCCCTGTGGTTTGCTGGTGCTTGGTGGAACTGCTCTACAGTGGCAGATACAGATACAGTACTTATATTTCATTTCACGTAGTATATCAGACATGCTAAACAGCTCTGAAAGGCTGAGAGCTCCTTAATGGGTGGTAACTTTTTGCTACTGTGTCAACATAAATGTAAATGTCTTGTGAAACATGGAACAGCTGATTTATGAGCGGGTAATAAGTCTTAAAATATGTTCACAGCAGCAATGCTTTCAGCCCCTACCTGCAGCAACTCTAATAAAAACTGTGACTTTTATAGACCCGTGCTCCTTTTGCTTTAAGTCTCAATCTCAAGTACTTCTAAGGCCTTCAGAGCGCTAGACACATTGGCTGTAAATATTTGAAATGCCCTCTGGGTCTACTACAGGCATTCTTTTTTTTATTCATACATTAACTGAATGAGGTTGGGATGTTATCTTTCATTTGCAAGAAAACGCCAGGGAATTAACACTCAGGTTGTTCTTTTGGGTAAACTGCTCAGCCTTGATTATGCAAAGTCAATAATACCCTTGCTAATGAGAGCAGGAGTGAAGCAGAGCACACAGGAATGAAGAAGGGCTCTGTAAGGACTTGGGAAAGCCCCCAGTCCACTGTAGCAGGGGAGTGTTGTGACTCAGTAGAGGAACAAAATACCCAGGTCAGAATCATAAACAGGGATTTACTCCTGGAAGAGCAAGCAGTGACAAAGAAAGAGGGCTGAAGGCTTGCATGGGAAATGAATATTGTGGGAACTTTCTCAACAGAATAGGGACACCTCCAGAACGGCTGAAAGATTTTCTTGCTTCTATTTATTGCCTTATTTCTCATAGCTTACTGCCTGCCTTCTTTACATTTGCTTGTACGAAAAAAGGTCATTCAGGAGACTGTGAATGAAAGATTTTGTGTGCCTTTATTATTGTATTTGTGAAGAAGAATTGAAAATTGACCTCTAGAGTGTTTGTGTATCAGAACTCTCCTGCTTAAACAGGGACTATGTCATGTGATGTATGAAGAATTTCTTTCCAAGGAATGTATTTGAATTCTGTGGCAGTGTATGAACTCTTCTGAACTGGACACAGTGGTCTAATGTACCTCAGACTTGACTGTTAAGTCTCAGATTAATCTGTTCCCTTTGCGGGCCCAAAATTTACACAGTTTATGAATCTTATGAATCTTTTAAACTTGTACTTACTAAAGCCAGGCTTTTGTTGAAACATCTGAACGCTTTTGATATTGACTTGTTGGAGCAAGTCCAGAGGAGGCCACCAAGATGATTAGAGGGATGGAACACCTCTCCTCTGAGGAAAGGCTGAGAGGATTGGGATTGTTGAGCCTGGACAAGAGAAGGCTTTGGGATGACCTAATTGTGGCCTTTCAGTACATGAAGGGAACCCACAGGAAAGATGGAGAGGGACTATTTACAAGAGCACGTAGTGACAGGACAGGGAGGAATGGATCCAAACTAAAAGATTAGGTTTATTAGGATTATATGTTAGGCAAAAATCCTTTGCTCAGAGGGTGGTGAGGCACCAGCACAGAGAAGTTGCGGATGTGCCATCCCTGGAAATATTCAAGGCCAGGTTGGATGGAGCTCTGAGCAACTTGGTCTAGTTGAAGGTGACTCTGTTCATGGCAGAGGCACTGGAAGTAGATGATCATTAAGAACTCTTCCAACCCAAACCATCCTATGATTTTATCATTGCAGCTTACTTTGATACTGGCAGTTATGAATCAAGCAGGGAGTGAGAGTTAAGTAGCTTCAAGCCTAAAGGGACTGAAATTTTTAATGTCTACTATAAACACCCACATGTCTTCAACTTCAGTACTTAAAAACAAGAAAGGAAAATTTAAAATGTTTAAATGTTTGATCTTTTTTCTTAAATTTTCTTAAATTTTCCATCACAAAGAACAGCAACACAGTTCTCAAACAATCTCTCCCACTGACTGAAAACTGTGGTATTCAGCAGAGGCAATGGAACTCAGCTGCCTGATTGCATATTTTGAATTAAGCCTGATGAGCTTGACACTGCAGATCTTTCACCAGAATTAAAGGGACCATTCAGACACTACTAACCTTCTAACAGCTGAGCCAGACTGAATCGGCCTCAGTTTGCAAAAGGACTGCCTAGAAAGCAGGACAATGCTGAGGTTGGATGAGGCTTTAGTATATGGAGTGCTATGATAAACAGCAGGAGCACCTGCAAAACACCACCTCATGTTTTGTCTGCTTTCTGCAATATCAGAGGGAATCCACTGGAGAAACACCCTGAGCTCAGTTCTTCCCTGCTACAGCAAAGGAGATAGGCTGCTACTCATCCCTAAATGCTTGTGGGACTGGGCATGGTCAAGATCTTCCAAGAATGCCAGTGAGACAACAAAGCCACAGCCCAGCCTCCACAGCAGTTCTGACAGTGGGTATGGTTGTGGAGGAGGGCACATGAAGTCAGAGACTGGCTGCAAAGTGTTGTTCAAGTTTGGTGCTGCTGATACAGGTGGATCAGAATGGCCTTGACTGCCACGCTGTCACTGCAGGTAGGCTATAATGGCAGGCTAAGGCCAACCACCATCTGACCTAACTAACACAAACAGTGTCTTTTCTCTTTGATTTTGCTCCATTACTTCCTTTTCCTCCTCAGAAGGTTTGAGTCTTGTTTGAGTATATGTGCTGTCATCACTGGAGTTTTACTACTGAGGTTCATAAAATGTTTCTAAATGCAGCCCTGATTAACACTCTGTATGCCAAAATATTTCTCATTGTGACAATGGACAGCTAGAGTGGATGGCGTATTGAACTACAGGTTCTCTGAGGTGATCTGTAAATATTTTAGAAATTTAAACTACCTTCTGACATTTTCCAGAAAGAAAACATTAGCTTCCAAAATTCTGTAAGACAGGTTTCAGCCCAACCAATTATCAAATACATAGTTATCAATCAGGTAGCATTTTACCAACCTCACTGTGTCTGTGAGACTCTCATTAGTGCCCAGATGTATATCTTGTATTGTAAGGAAGGAAGGATGTCCTCCGAGGAGAGCAAATCCTACGGTGAGGTCGATTAAAAAAAAAAAGAGAAATTTAACGCCAGCACCTCATATCTGCAGCCAAGACACAAAATCTTCTTCATGTAAGATACAATTACAGCAATAAAAGTAAAACTCAGCAGGACATCCAAATGTTTCAAACACCTAATAATACATATGCTAAAATAACTAGCATCTGACACACAAAATACAAATAAACATACTTTGGAATAAAACCACTCAAATGTGATATTTTGCTGAAATCCTTCATTCAAGCTCCAAGGCTACACATTGCCAAGAGCATCACTGTGTTGCCCTGCTATGAGCCAGGTAATCCATTCATCATGCTGCATTTCAAGGGACTTTGCATCCTAGAAGGGCCATTTGAGTCACTAGATGTAATTTCACATCCTTATATGTATCTAGATTTTCTTTCATGTACAGCCACTCAGGCAGAACACCCTAAAACTAAATAATATAATAATGGCCAGTCTTCGCAAACGAAGAACTGGGGAAGGTCTTTACACCTTCCAGCCTGCTCATTGGATTTTTTCGGTGAGACACAGTGTGAGCGGAACTGAGCCCACCCTTTAATCCTGAGGTTCATCTGCCGGGGCCAAGCGAGCTTGGACGGTGGCAGCGAGGTCCTCAGGACGTAGATGGATTGCCTTACAGGGCTAACGAGCTCCATCTGCCAGGGGAGTGGCCCTGACCGGGAATCAAACCCGGGCCTCAGCAGAGACAGCGCCGCGTCCTTAACCACTAGACCACCAGGGGCTCCACCCTAAAACTACTCACACACTGTAACAGACTTGACTTGAGTCACAAATGACCAAACTCCTTAAAAACAGTAATGCGACAGAGAGAAAAGGAAAGGTCTCAGTCACAGCCATCATCCCTCTACCCTGCAATAGTTAGGAATTTATGAGGTAGTCCAAGGAACTGGATGGATTAGGTCCAAAGAATAAAATCCATTCCTGAACAGCAAAGGAGATAGGTTTAAGTCTAAAGCTTCCTTCGACTGAATCTCAGTGTAAAGTCCATCATGGCCACAGGTTGGGAGGATGGGTTTGAGGGAGGCTGTTTAGTGAGCTGTCACAGATGGTTTAGCATAAACCTTGCACAGGACACAGGGTCCTACAGCTGGGGACATCCAAAGTGCAGTATTTGAACTGGGCTGTAGGTAGCCCTGTAAGGCATTTTCTGTGTGCTGGGGAAGATTTTCCACATAAGAACAACTCCTTTCTAGTATAGAAATTGTCAGGGAGATCTTGCCCTGTCGCTAATATTCATGACAGAGGAAATTTTCAGAGAACCAGAGTCCAGCATTTTTGAGAGAACGCTGGGGGGAGTTGTGGGGTGGGGGGGTGGGGGGGGGAAGGGAGAGAAAGAAACAAACAAAAAAAAGCTGCTCCGTCTGGTCGTAGCCGTTAGATGGCACTGCAGACATCCTCAGCACTGCAGCTTTAGCACGGTGGGTGTATGGGCCTGTCAAAGATAAAATCTTGATTCCAGAGCTACTCTTCAAAAATAGATTAAATCAGGACCAAACACTGGGCCCTTTCACAGATAAAACCAACTAGCTACAGGCATCAGGTCTGGACCCCACAGCTGGGCTCCCTACTCAGAGCAACTTATTAACTTCCATCTCATGATGGCAGTGGGGTTGAAGTGAGGTCTTCCATTCCATCACTTCAGTCAGTCTCTACAGTTTAAAATGCAATAGACTAAAATAATCCTGGCAAATCGTTGCCTTTAGATTTCCACAATTTCCTTAGAGGACCAATTAAAAATAATGATGCTCCAGAACCCACCTGAAGGGCAAAGTTCTGCTCTGTCCAGACAGTATATACTTATTGAATGGACCCATTTTTGCTTTCCAGTTGTTGTCATTAAATATTGTTCTGAACCTTAACAAGACTGCAGTCAGACACAGCAAACTTTTAAGAATGAAGCATCATTTATTCTACTATTACTTTTTGCTGTTAGAAAAGGACTATTTATAGCTTTGTTTGTTGCTTCAACCTCCTCTCTGAAGCTCAGGCACAAACTCTGTTTTATGGGAATATGTATGCAAACTGTTGCCTAGACATTGCATCCTATCTCTTCAATGCAAGTTTTTAAGTCAAGACCTCAAAGATGAAATGTTATTTGTAGTAACTCTTCCTTCCCAAGGTCTTGTGGATTTTTTTGAAGGCATATACTACTATGTCAGTGATTTATCCCTGCAAGTCCCATAAAAGACAACAGCGCTGCGTTTTAGGCTTTAAATACACACACTTTGGTAGATTATTCACAGTCCAGGCAGGCTCTCATGGACGTGTTCTGTTTTCTATAAATGGTGCCCAGGTTAGAAAAAAAAAAAAAAAGGAATCTGACCATTTATTCTGAATTGCCAGACGTCAGGCAGCGCAGTCGGAGCTGCCACCTGGAGTCTGTGTACATAGCAGAGTCCTAATGTGCTGGGCTTTCTGCTCATCAACTGGCCATCTGTGCAGGGCCTGGGAACATATTTCCATCCAAAACTTTCCGTCTGGAAAAACAGGAATTCTGCGCTCTAGCTTTGTATATAGTTGCAGAGACAGAATCTTTGCTTCAGATTCTTTCATCCAGACTACTAGTAGAAAGAAAATAATGAAGACTTTTGAAGATAGGCAGGCAACAATTCAGCAAATAAGCACAGATTGTAGTGCTGTGTTAAACTGGGAAATCTAATCCTCTTTGTTTTCACAGCCTGGTCATAGTCAAATCCACATGCTAAATGTTTATATGAATCATGGTATGTTCTACAAACTACTATATGTTCAAATTGCAGATTCAGAATAGGTGATCATCTCATGTCCATACTGCTCACTACAGTTAGTTTGCAAAATACACAGTTTTATGCCTCATGCTGTGGCACATTATTGACCCCAGTTATGCAAACTCCTTCGTGTAGGACGCGAGCTGGTGGTTGTACAGACCAAGATGAAATCTCCATCCCAGTCTGTCCCTGCTACATGGGGTAAGGGGGCCCAAATGAATCCTACAGTTCACAAGTGGGATACACAACTGTGGGGCTGCCTCACTGTTACCTGGAGACATGCACAGTCATCTTCTCAAACTTTTTAACTTTAAATTTCAAGATATGTGGATTTGTATTTATTCATTCCCTCACTACCTGCCAGGACTCATGAAATAGAAAGCATTTTTCAGTTTAGACTGATAACAGGCATCAATTACAGAATATTCCTAAAGCAGAAGCCTAAAAACTGATGAGTAGTTTTTAAAAGTTTTTTAAAGCTACTCCCTCTAAGTGAAAAGTAAGATAAAAGAGTGTGCTTGGGCCCTTTGCAACATGGCCAAGCTAAATAATACTAGGACATTCCAACAGAAAAAAGACCCTACATTCCTGCCATGTAGTACCATCCATGCTACATTAGTATATTTGAAATGATACGATTATTTCTATGACTGGGTGCAGTAATCTTCAGGCATGGACATTGTGTTCCTCTCACCCCACTGTGTAAGAGGAGTGAGTTGGAAGTAATTCCAATAAAGCCAGTGGCACTGAACCCCTGTAAAGCTGTTAAGATCTTTTATATTCCAGTGCCCAACAAGAGAAGGCTTTCCTGCCTGTATTGTTTCCTCTCTATTTCTACCCTGTGACATATTGTCTGCATTCAACATATGTGAAAAGGTTGGATTTATTTATGACTTATTCACTAAAACATAACTTCAGCTGTATATTTTAAGAGCAACAGTGACAATCAGAATATTTTACAGCAAGGTTATAACAAAAACGGGGCAATCACCTTTACGCCATGCCTGAGGATATTTATTTTACAAGTAATATATGAGAATGTGGAATATTTCTGTTTTCAAAAAGTACACAAGATTTTATGCAGAATGAGTATGGGATTCTGACTGTGAAGAGGTGACATCTTCCAGTACAACGGCAGAGATGTCACATTTTCCACTATAGTGATTGCCAGTGATAGCAATAAATCTAGTAGGCTCCATAAAACTGGATTTACTTTGCCAGTGCTCTATAGAAGTTACTTGTAGTTCTGAATTAAACTTACAACATCACTACTACTCTTAGAATTGGTAAAATATTATGAGTTTCAGAAATGCACATTAGGACAAGATTAAAGAGGCAATGCGTTATACCCCAAGGAACTGTACATTATTCAGTACAGCTGCAATGTCATCAGAATACAACAGTTCAGAGGCACAGGGTGTTGGAAAAACCACGAATGTCAACTGCTCTCTTACAGTTAATGTTTTGATAACACTTGATCAATCTTGATGACTGGGAGAAATGCTCAAAGACTGGAGGAAAGCAAATGTCACCCCTAAGTTAAAGAAGGGCAAGAAGGAGAACCCAGAGAATAGAGGCCACCCAGCCTCATCTCAATCCATGTAAAACTGAGGGAGCAGCTAATCCTGAACATATTTCTAGGAAGATTAAGGACAAAAAATCATCAATAGTCAACATGGCTTCACAAAGTGGGAGTTGTGCTTGACTGACTTGATAAACTTCTATGATTCTATGACTGGCCTGGTGGATGAGGGGAGTGCAGAGGGTATTGCCAGCCTGGACTTAATCATGTCCCTTGATAGTGTCTCTCCAATAAGGTCCTAGACAAAGTACTGCCAGCAGGTGGATCTTTCCTCTTTATTCAGCACTGGTGAGGCCAAACCTGGAGTGTTTCGCCTTGGGCTCCTCAGCATGAGAAACATGGACATACTGGAGAGAATCATTATGTACATGTTAGCAAAGGGTCATGAAGGCTATTAAGGGACTGAAGCATCTTTTAAATGAGAAAAAGCTGAGAGAGCTGGAATTGCACAGCCTAGAGAAGAGAAGGCTCTGAGGGAATATTACTAACGTATATAAAAACCTGGAGGGAGGATGCAAAGATAAAGCCAGGTGCTTTTCAGTAGTGCAGTGGACACAAAATGAAACACGGGAAGATCCCTCTGAATGCCAGGAAACTCTTTTTTACTGAAAGGCTGATTGAGTACTGGCATAGGTTGCCCCAGAAGGCTGTGGTATCTTCATCTTCAAAGATATTAAAAAACCCAGTCCTGGACAACTGGCTCTAGATGATCCTGTTTGAGCAGTGGGCTGGACCAGGTGACCTCCAGAGGTCACTTCCAACCTCAACCATTCTGTGAATCTGTTTATTATTTTTCGAAAATTATGTTCTTTATAGGCATAGGGACAGCAGGAATTCAGAAAAAAACTTCCATGGTGTTAATATGTCACAACAATCTCCTAGACATTACACAGAGGATATTTTGTAATCAGTGATTTCCAGGCCTCTACTCCTTTTAATGAAACCCACTGATTTTCATTTGGCTGTTCCAGAGAGTTACAAAGTTTGTTTAGATTAATCTCGTCACTAGAGCCTTGTCCCACAAGTGACCTTCTTTAAGATATTGAAGGCATAACTCATGGGAAGGTGCTATTTGAGACAACTCAATAATTTTATAAATAAACACTCCAATTCATTTCAATGCCCACTTTCACAGGACATTAGAAAATTGGTTTTAAATTAGCTTATTTAGCTAAAAGGAACACATGTGGCCCCACATTTGTTTTGAGTTAGAAATTCCAAGGGAGAAGTCATTTACGTTAAAAAAGCAGCTGAAATGTATAGAGTTTTCATGGACAGAGTCTGCCTTTGAAACAAAGTCTTAGGCTTAAGGGACTTAAGGCCAATTAACCGAAGGTGTGAAGTTAATGCACAGAAGTTAAACTGCATTAAACTCCCTTGTGGAAGCTCTTACTCAGAAATAAATTGGTTTTATTTCACTGAAGCTTAATCCCTCTTGGATGAATTTATGTGCATTAACTCCCATCCTTAAGTTAATTCATTTGAACTTTCCTGAGCTTCCCCCTTCCATAAGCCGTCAAAAGCCAAGGACTAAGTAGCACTTCCCTAGGAACACAGAAGAATGAAGGATAAACAGATTCAGAGAATTCATTACCTGCCCATGTACCATTAAGGCAGGCAACTAGAAACTGGACTAAAAACTCAGGAATTAAAAGGTAGGTGGTCTTCACAGAGAATGAATACACATTCAAAATTCCTTATTATCTGGAGAAAACAGAAAGCAACAACAAGTCTACTTAAAGAGCATGATCAGCAGGCAAGTGGCTGTGGCAGAGAATACAAATTCAGAAATGCTTGCAGTTACCGTATCTGCTTCTTCCTTCCGTTATTTTTACCTTTGCCTTTACATCTCGTAAAGAAATGTGGACACTCAATGAGTTTCTTGTCCCTTCACTAGGGAGAAGTCAGCCCAAGGGATGCTGGGTCAGCTTGAATGTGAGAATCTTCCTTGATGCATCACCAGTTTTCAGTTATTGCTTGCTAACATGAAGGATTTATTTCAGCAGTCCCTTTGACTTCAGAACAACTACCATACAAATAAAGACATCATATGTATGTGTTTCAGTGTTTCCAGAACTGTATCCTAAAATAATAATATTCTGGTGCCTGATCTTATTAGGCTAATACCCTGTAGTCTCCATGAGGTTATCTTCCCCTATAGGTAATCATATTAAATTTTTCCCCTAATTTATATCAAGGCATTACTGTGATTCGCAGCCTAAATAAATGCTTTGAAATGTGACAATGGTAATGCATAATACATTAGAAAAATATTTATTAAGGCTTCCACAGAATTAAATTTGTGATGCTTACTGAAACAGATGTTAGGAAATGTGCATCTTGCCAGTACAACTAAAAGCTTGCACCAGAAATGCTTCCTTCTGCCTGTTATTTTATTTCTGCTCTGTTGTACATTCGGAATAATTTGGCAAATTTTCAGTGACCAAAACATTGTGCTTGTGACCTTAATATGTGAGGTGAAAGACAATTAGATACCATTGTTTAGGTTGCTCTCGAGTAGAAATTGCTAAATACAAAATCATGCAATGTTTTTCAGTACAAACTCACTGCATACAGTTTCATACAAAATCCAACTGTGCTATTGCTCAGACCTACCTGTTTCTGCAGATAATCTTGTTCTTGTGCTTCTCTTCTCAAAAATCATGGCCAAAGATTTTCCTTGCATCAAAGGCAAATACTGAGACATGAAAATTGAAGGCGTTTCAAGTTTATAGTCATTATACACTTAAAGTATGAAATACTTATTCTTTCACATTTTAATTCAGCATTAGGAAAGTTGCACACGTTGTTTTTTTTTAACCATAGCTTTGTTCTTCTTCCCTTCAATAAGTTTTATTAGCAGTGGAAACGTTAAAGAGAAAGAAGTAATTCTAGGGCAAAATCAACTGCATTTTGGCACTCAATTTGAGTTAGCATTAAGGAAAACTGAGACACTAATTTAATCCCATGCAGGGAAGTGTCTTCCATTTCCTACATTTTGTGCTGCATATGCACCATGTGTGGATGGATGGGGTTAGCTGACAACAGAGAGTTGGCTGCACAAAGCTGTTTAACCTTTCCACTGATGAAGTCCTCTGAAGTATTTAAAGAATATCTCTGAACACTTTACAGGAAGACTCTTTGATTTGTAGCATGTGATTTACAGTATTTAGGAGCTCAGGAGATTTTGTCTAGGACAAGACAGCTGAATGCTCATTCCCAGTGCTCTTCAGAACAATATTTATTTCAACATCTGAGTGATCTAAATGACAGTTAAAGCATTTTACCTCTCCTTTGTACTTTATCCTTTGTTTCAAATCTGAGGCCATCCACAGCAAATACTTCAGCTCATCTGCTGTGTAGTTCTGTAGAGTAAGGAGGTCCTGACCTTTCAGATGAACATTCATTTGAGCTGGTGACCCATACCTGTGTCAAAAGGGCAAAAAATACACACCTTTTGTCATCAATGCTAAATTGCACTAATGCTAAAGCCAGGGAGCAAACACCTGAAATCTTCCCCATCCCTCTCGTTTGACCCAGCTGGATCAGCTTGATGGACTGTGTTAATTAGTTAAAATAACTCCAACTGTCAGACAGACACAAAACATGCCACCACACTCTATATCAATCACCACTGTAACAGTGTTTCAAACTGTATTATAAACTGTACATTAGATACAGTTTCTTTTGTCTTCTGAGATGCCTATGGCCACTGCATGTTATCAAATAAAGCCGTTCAGAGCTTGGTGAAACAACTTATGTGTGGACCACAAAGCTGCCCTTTTGGGGGACAGAATAACAGAAATGGATCTTGGTGCATCTTCTCCCTCCTTTGTGCTTTGTGGCTGAGTAGACTGTCACAAATAGTGGCTTTTCTATATAAATGTGTATGAAAACTGTTGATTACACTGGGGAAGAGGGTAATAATCCCCAACAAAATAACCGTGTGATCTGGTCCTTCTTGTAGCACACAAGAGACGTTCCAGACGTGTGAGTGTGTTTATTCAGTGTATTCTGGTCTCCGACCACGTTTATGACTTCAGAATCACATGAAATTGGATGCTGATAATAACCCAGAGAAGTTACATGATCAAATTTCCTCTAACTTAGATGAGGCATCTTAATGAGAGTCACATCCAAGCTCATGTTTCCGCAGGCTTTAGATTAATAAGGCAGCGTGGCAGCTTAGCCCTTTCTCTGGCATTGTACTCACAGCCTCCTCAGCACTACACAGCCTGCACTGTACTCTTGGTTTGGATGGGTGTGAGCTAAGCATGTCTTTTTAATTCAAGGCAGCATTTTTAGGCTGATCTAATGGAATGGAGATCAAAACAATGCAAACAAGTGGACTGAGTGCACCTACTGCTTTTGTATTACCAAATAGGCTTCCCCATAGCTCGCCACTGAGATTGGGCATAGTTACAGCTCCTGCCAGTTGCCAAGCCCTGGAGTCCACAGCTAGGAAAATTCAGGGGGGAAAAGATTTCTGTTCATTCTTCTGTTAATCCCAATGAATAAAATCCCTGGAAATGGATAAGCCTATTATAATTTCTAAAGGTTTTGGGTTCATATATTAATTAAATGTGGGGGGAAAGTCTTTTTCTGCAGAATTTTGTGGCATAGACTCCAACTGAAACTGGAGGAAGAGAGCAGCTCTTCAGGGAACAGTACCACACATTATTACTCTCTGACATCACAGTACAAGCTGCATGAATTTTCAAATAATGCAGCAGAATTTCTTCTTAAACTGGAGATATCTAAATGCTGTGTGTTTTCCTTCTGGGCGCCTTACAAGCACATTATACCACTGTCATTATTAAGAGATTTTTTCACAGTGAAAAGAAATAAGTGTAAAATGGAAACATGGAGAATACATGAAGAAGTAACCCATGCATATACCCTGCAGATAAATGTTGCTGGAATTCAATATATACTGTCATATGTCAGGGCAATGTGTTCCAGACATTATGCAGACTTCCAGAGGATCCACCACTAAGCTGAGCAGAAACAACTATGAAGATTGCCATCAGTGTGCACCATCAGAATCTGGTCTTTGTACAGGCCCCCACACTGCAGGAGGGCTGGACTTTTCTGTAATACCATGCAGATAAACAAGTGGATTTCTTTTTTCCCAAGTTTAGAGTAATGTTGCCTGTGTATTTTCCAAGACTATCTCTGAAAATTGATTCTGAAGTGAAATATGATACAAAGTCTACGTCTGACTTAGGTAATAAATATTTGTGGCAGTGCCATTTAAAACAATATACATTTTCAAACCAGAAAGACCTCTCTACATAGCATTGCAATAAATGGGAAAATAAAGTTACATATTTGCTATTCTGTACCCATGCTTGCTTCCAACATGAGGTAAACAACCTACAATCCATTAGGAAACATGCAGATGCCCCATGTTTTTTTAAATTTGAACTGGGTTTTACAGATCTAGCAAAATTCAATGTACTTCAATGTGCAGCAGCTGCAGAATAGAATATACTTGACATTATAAGAAAGGTTGGGTGTTCTTGAGTCAGGTAGTTTCCACCATAGCATGAAAAGTAGCCCAAGATAAGCCACTGAAATTCAGTCTGGAAGACCAAGGCTTCTAGCTGATATTCAAATGATTAGCTCTAAATTAATTGTGTATATTCTGAAGGAAATCAGTTTTATAATTGTGACTTTATTACTATTATTTTTCAGAACAGGGATTTGTTGTTCTATCCAGTTTGGGGAAAGAAAATAAAAGACTTGTCCTATTCTAAAATTTGTGTTATGGCTTGCTGCTTGGTCACCCTACTTTCCTTTGCTGTGTTGTTTTCAGAGCAGCTTTGGTGCTGTTGGTTGTATTTCTAATTGCAACCTATGATTCCTTCCAGTGACTTATGGATTGTCTGATCTCAGCCTGCCAAGCAGGAATTTCTGTTCATTGGTCTTATTTCACCACTTGGCATGACTGAGAAATATTCACCACTAAATTCTGCACTGGTAGATAGTGAAGCACTAAAACTGGTTACCCAGAGTGGGAATACCACCCTTGAGGATTTTCAAGATGTGGCTGATCTCATATGCTGTTTGACAGGCTATGAGCAGAAAGTTGGACTAGAGTTCTGCTCCTGCCGTGTATGTTCCCATGATGATTCTGTTTTATTTCTATGACCTTCAAGAAACATGTTCCTCCTCCCTGTTGTCCATATCCTCTGAAAGAGAGGCAGAAGTGGACGAATAAATTCCAGAGAAGAAGCATGAGACAACATACCAGAGTTAAAATGTAACAGGCAAATTGCAAGGTCAAGCAGTTTTGGCTTCTTGCTTTCTGAGCAGGGACAACAGTAACTTTGGTCTCTTAGCACAGACTGATAGATAAAAGGTTATCCTGCGGTATCAACCACAGTGTGCTTAGCTACTAATGCTCACAGACAGTGGTGATAGCTTATGCCAGCATTATGTTATGTCAAAAAAACCCCTAAAAGTACCAAACAATATTATGTGGGGAACTTAGCAAATTGTATTACTTCCTTGGAAAACCAGCTTCACTGCAGTTGTTTTCCAAACGTGCTTTTCTATCATCTCTGCTAACCAGAGAAAGTTCCCACCCATTGCCAGCAGTGAAAATCCAAAATTCATAAAAAAGATTATCACCCAGGCTTCAGGACCACTTTAAAATTGGAGTAAGTAAATACCATAACTTGGAAAACTTTTGTTTTTCATCTAATGCAATGGAGAAAGGCTGAATAAAAATTACTTATTGCATAGTAGGATTCCTGTGAATATGAAATTCCTGTAAATTTTTTTCTAGCATTAATCACTTGTTACATAACTTATTAATGCTATCCTTATTGATGCTGACCTAAAAACAGAGGGAGATGTGGAACTGAGTTTCAAGTCTAAAATTTTAACCTGATTCTGGAGATGTGACAAGCATGAGAAGTAGCTTGCTGAAATGCAGTCAAAAAGGTGCTTTTCTGAGGTCTCAGGGGACAGGCACAGCTATGTGGCTGAGGAAAGAACCCAAAGGCAGGTCACAGAGGTAGGTCTACCTGCTTAATTGGGAACCTTGTATCACATCATGTTTTTCCTGCATGTCTCCAGTGTATACAGAGAAAAAAAATACCGAGGCAGCTTCAAGGAGAGAATATCCCCCCATACTGTCCATGATAATTGTCTAAATGAAGAAGAATTCCCTGTAATCTATTCACATATTTATTGGTTACAGTACCTACAGCATACACTGACCTCAAGAAAAAACATTCCTTCCTGACCTTGCTGCTAAAGCCCACAGAAAGTATTATTGGTATTCCATAAACATTAAAAGGGATAATTGTCCAATCTCCCAAAGTCAAAGAGCTTACTGCCTTGAGGGGCAAAAGGGCAATGAAAATGCAGGGCAAAAAAATCGAGCACCTTTCTCTGAAACACTCGCTCCTTCACAGGATTCAGCTGGTTTTGTCTCCAGGTCTCTGGCCAAATGTCACAGAACAGTGATAAAATTAAAGGATAAGCTTACCAGAACTGTCGCAGCAACTGCCTCCTGGTCCCTGTCAGTTTTGCAATGCTGACAAAGCTCCTCACATTAAACAGCATCTTCTGTTTGTATTAAGACTTACTCTGAGTCCCACAAAGTTATGAGAAAGAACGGTTATGAAGCAGAGAGCGAGCGGTGCTGCTGTGCAAACGAGGGAAAGCCAAGAACCAAAGTCTTCACTTTGGCTGTCCCAGCCAGGGCTGGGCCAGGCAGAGGTTGACACTGAAATTTTCCTTGGCCAAACCCTCCAGATACAGAGATTTCTCACAGAGCCCATTGCATCACTTGCAGTTTGTGCTCTTCTGCCCGTCATATCACACCTGTGTCAATACCATTTCATAGCTACTCTGTGTTTGTTAAATAGTTGTACAGGAGCACGTGTCAGTAGAAAAATGCAAAAGAAGACTTGCAGGAGGCAGCATGAGCAGGACAGCTCCCCTAGGGATGAGACTGTGCCCATGGGGGCTCCACGGCTCTAGCACAGCCCTGGCAGGGACTGGTGGCCCTGGACTGAGCCAAAATGAGGCTTCTGGACGCACAGATGTGGAGCTGGGCAGGGAATAAACGCTTATTTGTGCCCTCATGGCTCTGAAAAGAATGAAGAACATTAAAAAATGTACATTTTCCTGTTGTGGTTTTTTTTTGTTGTTTTTTTGTTTTTTTTTTTTTTTTTTTTGGATCAAGTTTTCAGCTGTGCTATGGTAGAGTTAAACAGCCCTCACTGGGACCCAGAAACTGAAATATTGCAACCTGCTTACCTCCTTATGCCAAACTGCTTGCTGTATAATCTGAAGCTGGTCAATTGCTGAATAATAAAGTGATTTCATTTAAATTTCTACCTTCAAGTATAATTGTCAGACAAGGCTCTATGCCACTGTAGGTGGTTTTGAAATATGACCATTACTTTCTCTTTTCCTCATTACCTTCTCATTTCCTCCTCTGTGTAAGGAGAGGCGTACTAGTGTAAATCAAGGTGATGGTGTATCTGTCAGAGAGAGTGATATGTTGAAATGGCAATGTGAAGAACATATAATTAAAACATACTGAAAAAAGGTTTGACTTCCCCAGAAAGAGAGACAGCTGTGAAAAAGTCATGCAGGGTGATAGCTCCTGGTGGGATTTGTTCAGGACCCCTCACACCGAACCAACGCTGAGACGCTTGGAAAATGCAGCAGTTGCCATGGGAAATGTCAGGCAGAAGCAAAATCCAACAGAAATTATTAGGAAGGAAATTAAATAGAAGAAAGAGAAGAAAGCTGGGCCATGGTTTCCCTTTTGGTTGTCCTCTGGCAAATGACTCCCATGGCCTTCAAGCCCAGCCCCTGGGGACTGTACATATGCCCTTAGTGATACCCAGGAGAAAAGACAGCAGAGAAAGAAAATGTGGTCAAGGTGCCAAGGCCTCCAGTCTCATTTTACAGTCTGACAGGGAGGGGACAGTGCCAGTGACCCTTTTTCAGGTCCCCCTTTGTATGGGTTCTGGCTGAGATGGAGTTCATTTTCTCCACAGCAGCCCTCACAGTGCTGTGTTTTGCGACTAGAAAGGTGTTGATAACAGAGCAAGCTTTTTGGCTACTGCTGAGCAGTGCTGGCACAGCATCAGTGCTGATGTTCCCCCCATTAGGAGGCTGGGGGAGGGTAAGATCTTGGGAGGGGGCATAACTAGGACAACTAGCACCATCACACCCCTGTACAGGGACTGCCCGATCTGGTTACCACATGGACCAATTTCCTTGTAAGCTCCTGTGAGAAAGTGTTGCATCCCACTCCTAAGAGGAAGGGAGCACCCAAGCTTTATAGATTCCTGTAGTCAGAAAGGAATATGATATTCATATAGTCACCTAACATAATGAATAGAAGGCCCTCCTCCTCTCTGAGCTTGCAGGAGACCAACCCTTGACACCTCCTTTCTTGAGGACAAGCAGCAATCAGGGTAGGTAAAACATTCATACAGCAGTGGCTGGAAACAGCTTGGGAAGGCAATGGCTCATCTTCTTCCCAACCTCCCACCCTGAGGAAGGGCCTGGCCTTGGTGCCTTTGCTTTGGAGAGTGGGGCTGCAGTATCTGGGGCACCTCTGATAGTGAGCAGCTCCCAATCTGCTGCACCTCGCTGTGCCCGCAGCAAGATCCTCTTTCAGCAATACGTCTGCTTGGACACCTGGGAAAACATGACCTTATCGGACGCCTGTCAGCACAACTTCTGCTTCATCTGCGTGCACTGGTCATCCAAACCCAAAAGCAAATGCCCACTCCATAAACAGTCTTCTCCATCTATCATTCATGCAGTGCTGGCCAGTGAAGACTTCCAGGAGCTCAGCATCCAGCCACTGGTAGTTCTGTCCTTCACCCATCATTCCTTGTTCAAAGACCTCCTTACCAGCTCAGCCATCCTACCAGCAGAGATACATTTGTCCAACTTTGTGAGGTGGCTCCCATCTCTCCCAAGTAGATGTTGATCTTCAAAGAGGATCTCACAGCCCCAGAAACCAAAACCCTGCAACAGACATCTTCTTTCTATGAATCTTCCTCATTGTTTCATAACCCATTTATATTCTTGGCAACCACAGTACCTGGTAACTACAATCTCAGGCATCACCTTGTGGAACAATATTTGTTCAGTTTTATTTTGAACAGCTTTTGATGCATATCCCCTCCCTTCAGACTTAGGAAAAGGAGTTAGGGCAGAAGGTATCAGAAGGATATGGGGGTTCAAAGAGAAGAAATTGCTGCCTCATGTAGGAGCAAAAATCAAACACTTTCTTTTTCCTTTTGAAATTCCTTTTGACACCTGTCTTTGTGTGTAGTTATATGGATACACCATCTTTTGAAAAAAATAGTCTATTGATTAAACTCTGCATAAAACAAGGCTGCCATTGGTTGTCCAGGCTGCCTGCTGCACCCCCTGTTGCAGTACATCATCCTGGAAACAAGACCATTTTCTTTCAGCAAGGGATGACCTGGTTTATCTAAAAGAGCAAGAAAATGGAACTCCACAAACAACCATAGATTTTTTTTGGCTGGAGGAAAAGGCTCCACTGTGAGTTTGGGACTATACATGAAATATGGTTAAAAGTGTACAAGCCCCTGAATTTATTTCAGTGGGATCTGGAACTGCCCTACCCAGAGTCACTGGTTGGGTAGGTGATTGAATCTTGTGCACTTGATCAGAAGGCTTTACACAAACATTCTGGTGAAAAAGATCCTCAAACAGAAGAGACTTGTCATTTAGAACTGCAGAATCACAGTGTTGACAAAATCAAGTTTCAGAGCCATGTTCTGCTCCCCCAGCTGAGGCAGAGCAGCTCCACCAATCACTCAGCAAACAAACAGCTGAGCCAGGATCCTGGCGAAGCAGGGAGCACGAGACAGAGTCCCGGTGAGACATGGCTCCTTTGGGAGCTGCAGGCACAGACTACAGAGCAGGGAGACATAAATGATGCACAGAATGTTGGGATGCTGCCAAGAAGGCAGAGTTCTGATAGAGATGAGACTTGCATGGGGCCTTCAAGGAGTGTGATTCTTATAATTGAATCACAGAATGGCTCAGATTGGAATGGATATTAAAGCTCATCTAGTTCTAGTCGCCTGCCATGGGCAGGGACACCTTCCACTAGACCAGGTTGTTCAAGGTCTTGCCTGGCCTTGAACACTTCCAGGGATGGGGTATCCACAACTTCTCTGAGCAACCTTTTCCAATGCCTCAATAGCCTCATGGCAAAGAATTTCTTCTGTATTTCCAACCTAAACCAACCCTCGTTCAGCCTGAAGCCATTGCCTCCTGCCCTATCACTACAACTCCCCGATAGAAGGGTGTAGCCTGGTGGGGTTCAGCCTCTTTGTCTCAGGCAACCAGCGACAAGACAAGAGGAGAGAGCGTTAAGCTGCACCAGAGGAGGTTTAGTTTGGACATTAGGAAGAATTTATCCACTTAAAGGGTGATTAGACACTGGAATGGGCTGCCCATAGGGGTGGTGGCGTCACCGTCCCTGGTCATGTTTAAGAAAAGACTGGACGTGTCGCTCAGCGTCCTGGTCTGGTTGACAGGGTGGTGCTGGTTCACAGGTTGGACCTGATGACCTCAGAGGGCTTTTCCAGCCTAATTGATTCCGAATTCCGTGGCCGGCACAGCGCCGGCCGCGGGCCCAGCCTGCTCCGAGGCGGCGGGGCGGGCTCTGAGGGCGCGGAGCCGCCCCCCCTCCTCCGGCCGCCAGGCGGCGCTGCCCCCCCCGCCGGCCCCGCCTCCTCGGGCCGCCATGGCCGCGCCCGCCGCGGGGGACGAGCTGCCCGTGCCCGGTGAGTGCGGCCGGTCCCGCGGGGCTCGGCCGGGGGAACTCGTTCTCCCGTGCCCCGTGAGTGCGGCAGGTCCCGCGGGGCCCGGCTGGGCGAACTCGTTCTCCCGTGCCCGCCCCTGCCCCGCGGCCGCCGCTGTGCCCCCGCTCTCCCCGGCTGCTGGCGGGGCCGTCCGGCGTGAGGGGAGAGGCGCGTCCGCCGCCGCCAGAGATCGGCAAGGAGGGGGCCGGGGGGCAGCGCCGGGCACCGGGGAAGGGGTGGGGTGGGGTGCTCCGTTAATACCAAGAATTAATAATTAGTCCGTGTCGTGGTTTGCCCCAAGGCGGTGTTCAAACATTCGCTCGTTGCCCGGGACAACAAGCGCCTCGTTTACGTCCCGCGGGATTTAGTTTTTACGAGTCGATGGGGTCCGATTTCCAAACGGATGGCTCCACGGCATTACAGCATCACAGAATAGGTCGGGCTGGGAGGGACAGCGGGTCATCTGCTCCAACACCCCTGGCTCGACCGGGGTCATCCCAGAGCACATGGCACAGGATTGCGTCCAGATGGCTCTGGAATATCTCCAGTGAGGGAGACTCCACACCCTCTCGGGGCAGCCTGTTCCAGTGCTCGGTCACTGCACAGCAAAGGAGTTCTTCCTGGGCATCAGTTGCTGCCCATTATCTCTTGTCCTGTTGTTTGGTACCACTGAGCAGAGCCTGGTCCATCCTCTGACACCTCCCCGTTTAGACATTGATGAGGTCCCCTCTCAGTTGTCTCTTCTTGTAGCTGAACAGACCCAAATCCCTCAGTCTGTCATCATAAGAGAGGTGCTTATGCCCCTCAGTCATCCTCGTTGCCCTCCACAGGACCCCCTCCAGGAGCTCCATGCCCATTTTACTGAGGAGCCCAGAACCGGACACATTACTCGTGTCCAGGTTTGAAATGTTGTGGCTTAGCTGTGAAATGAACAAAATACAAAGGATGGTTGTCAGTTTGACAGCTTTTTGTATGCAGTGATGAAGAATATGCTTATGTTTTCATGTTAACCCTGTTGAAGGGAAAAGAAACGAATCACAGAGCTCTACGGAACAAATGCCAAATAACCACTGAGCATGTTCAGATGTGCTGCTTGGCTGTCTGGCTGGAGATTAAAACGTAAAATAAGAGTTTTCAAATGACTTTTAGTATGTCTGTGGTCATAGATGTGTCTAGATAAATTAAAAACTAACTCTTTCTATCAAACTTGAGTTTACCTGCACAACGTTTGTTGAGGAAGTGAGCAGGTGAAAGTGAAACACATCCAATGAGGTAATAAATACAATTTGTACATGTCTGCTGCATCTGATCCATTAAATAACATGCCTATGGAAATAGGGGAAACTTTTGCGTAAAATAATTACTTCTAAATGATATCAAATTTACAGTTTAAGAGAGAACTTTTGGGTTTTGGAGCTGGGGTGTACATTATTGATGAGGTTGTTTTCATTGAAATTTATTCCATTAAGACATCTCCATGTAATTTTCAGAAGCAGTCTACTGTTACTGTGTGTTTTTGTTCACATTTGTTACATGTTAACAAAAAATTTACAAGCAAAAGGTTTGTTTTATTCTCAAAAAAATTCTATGCCGATAGCACAGGCTTTGACATTTTAAAATAGTAGGTCTACCTGTCCTTTGCCACGTTATCTGTGTGGCTTTTGGCAAAGTATGTAACTTGTAAGTCCACTAATTTTTCTGTAGAATTAGTATTTTCTGTGTCAAGCCACAAGCTTAACCAAAAGCTGAATGAATAGTTAACATTCTGTGTTTTGAACAACATTTTGAAGAACACTGAACACTTTTGAAAGGGGGAAGAATTAGGAAAACCAGACAGATTACAAGAGCAGAAGAGCTGCCTGGACTTTATTTTGGGGTAGTTTTGTTAGGGTTTCTTTGGTCATGGTCTTATCACGGAATGACTGGAGTTGGAAGGAACCTCTGGAGATCATTTGGTCCACCCCTCTTGCTTAAAACAGGGTCACCTGGAAGAGGTTACACAGGATTGTGTCCAGGCAGGTTTTGAATCTCTCCAGAGATGGAGACTCTACAACCCCTCTGGGCAGCTTGTCCCAGGGCTCTGTCACCCTCACAGTTAAGAAGTTCTTTCTCATGTTCAGGAGAAACAACAGTTGTACCAACTCATATGTTGAAGGCTGAGAGAAGAAAGAAGAGAAATATAGGAAAATAAAATGTTCAATTGAATTGACAGAATATGGCTATTTCAAAATATATGAGGCAAAATTTGCTTTCACTGACATTGACATTATGTTTTTGTGTTTTAGAATCAGGTGCTGTTTTCACATTTGGGAAAAGCAAATTTGGAGAAGATGTTCCTAGCAAGTTCTGGTTCAAAAATGACAAGCCTGTACTTATATCATGTGGAGATGAACATACCGCTATTATTACAGGTCAGTATTGGAAATGGAATGTATAGAATCATAGAATTGTTTAGGTTGGAAAAGACCTTTAAGATCATCAAGCCCAGCCATTAAACCAGCACTCCATCACTTCCATGGGCTGCCTGTTCCAGTGCTTGACAACCGTTTCTGTGAAGAAATTTACCCCAATATCCAATTTAAGCCTTCTCTGGCACAACTTGAGGCCATTTCCTCTCATCCTGGTACTTGCTACCTGGGAGAAGAGACTGACCCCCACCTGGCTACAGCCTCATTTCAGATAGTTGTAGAGAGCCATAAGGTCTCCCCTGAGCCTTCTTTTCTCCAGGCGAAACAACCCCAGCTTCCTCAGCTGCTCCTCACAGGACATGTGCTCCAGACCCTTCACCAATTCCACTGTCCTCCTTTGGATCGATGTGATGAAAGGTTATATATTTGGACAGCTTTGAAAGTTAGGAATCTTATTTGAATCCTGAGGTAATAAATGAGTTTGTGGAGAGGAGAGAGGACTGTTCCGTGGGAACTGTTGGATGCCTTTAGAGTTACTGTGAGGTTACTCCAGGTTTTCACAAGACATGCCCAAGAACTGTCTTAAGCGACTTTGTAATAGTTGAATGTATCAGAGGATTTAAAGTAGTCATGAATTTGTTCAGGTTTAATGTATCTTGTGAATCTGACAATGTTTAGTCTATTAGATATATTGTATCATAAAAGTAACAGTATCTGTTAACACCCTCAAGAAGATCACTAGAAATCTGCTTGAAACAGTAGATACAATTGTATCTCTGAGAGGGTTTGAATTACTGTTATCTGTCAGATGAAAATAAGCCTTGAAAGAGCAACTCAATAAAGTTCAGAAAATCCTACAAAAATCAGAAGTAAATGGAAAAAGCATTCAAGAAAATTCTGATGTAATACAGTGAGCATTATTAATATTTATTTTAATATCTTTGAAATGATGGAGACAGTACACATTAAAAAATTTGTTCATTTTATTTTACATGAAAGGGACTACTGTTCTGTTGAATAGCATGTGTGTCAATTGTGTTGACAATTTATTGCTGATAGATAATAAGACTGTTATAAAATTTGTATGTGTATTTTCAGAACTTTTTAAGTTGAAATGTAGTTATTCCTCATCAATAACCAGTTGGTCACTGCTTATTAAATAATTTCTGGAGGGTTTCTTGCAATGTTTGAAAGGAGAATTGAAGATGCTAGATTTTTAGAAAGAACTATTCCAGGCATGATAGAAAAGACTGTAGATTTCATGGACTTCAGGACACCTTGAGGTGAAATTACACAATGCATTTTTCAAGCCTAACTTCACAGAAGACAGATTATACATTAATAGTTCATTTTGAGCAAGAGTGTCCCTGGTGGTGCAGTGGCTAAACCACAGCGTTGTCAACGCTGAGATCTGGGTTCGATTCCCGGTTAGGACACTCCCCGGGCAGATGGAGCTCGCTAGCCCTGTAAGGCAATCCATCTACGGCCTGAGGACCTCGCTGCCACCGTCCAAGCTCGCTTGGCCCCGGCAGATGAACCTCAGGATTAAAGGGTGGGCTCAGTTCTGCGCACGCTGTGTCTCACCTAAAAAATCCAGTGCGCAGGCTGGAAGGTGGAAAGACCTTCCCCGGTTCTTCGTTCGCGAAGAGACTGGCCATTATTATTTTGAGCAAAACTTCACACTTTTTCTTGGACTGAACCAGTAATATTAAACTGCCTGTTGCATAAAATTAATCCAGATGTAAGCTGGAACACTGTGATATTTTCCTTTTGCATTTTGTTTTTCTATGTGCTTTTATATGCCCACACCCAGTTTGAAGTAACGGTGGTATAGTTCTCTGTTTAAACTAGTTGATTTAAGTTGCCTTCTTGCATGTGCCTGTGTCAGCACTGTTACCTAATCAATCACTGCCATAGTGACCATTTAGATAAAGCTTTTGAAGAAGTCAGCTTACATAGATTTGCATGCAACATTGTCTTCCCTTTTCTGTTGTTTTAATATATGTTTCAAAAATGTCTTTTGTTTCAAAAATGACTCTTTAGCTCTCCTTAGCTGTTGTAGTGGGCAGATACATCTCCAGGGAAGCTTCTAGATAATCAGCTCCTGATTTTCTCAAAGCTTTTGAGGAGAAGGAACTATGGAAGCATGAGTAAAAAGCTTTTTAGGTACCAAAATGTTTTCTGGGTCATTGTAAAGTAGAGGAAAAAGTGAGGGTAAAATATGGATCAACGACAAGCAAGGGTAGAGAAACTGCAAGAGTCATAAGAAAAAAGTGAAAAAGGGGAAGAGAAAACCATTGTCCCTCATTTGTTCTTCACACCTGTGCATGCCCATGTGCACTTCACGTTTCTGCTGTTAGATGGAGTTGGATGATAGAATGGAATTACAGCCCTTGGTGACTGACACTGACCTGCAGTAACACCTGGAATAAACACTCCAGAGGTGCCTGCCAATACTGAGTTTACTGAGAAGGCCACAGGCCTTGTGGGAAACCAGGAGCTTCTTCAGCTGAACCTGGCCTGGAAGAGATAAAAAACAAACATCACCGAGGAAGGAAAAGTATCTCAAGCAGGTGTGTGTTAATGCATGCTTCATTTTATTTTCAGTCTTTACTTATAGGTCACAAAATTCTCCCTCTTTTTTTTTTTTTCCCACATCTTGGAAGAGGGAGTGGGACCTATGTTTGTAGGGGTCAGTAAGAATATGAGGTAGGTTCAAATCTGACAGATATCAGTTTGACACTAACATGTCTCAACAATCATAAGTAAAACAATCACACAAACTAATACAGGACATTCCTTAATGCGGGATTTGGGGAGGAAAGACAGGTACACCTAGCACTGAGTCTTGACTGAATACTAATGAAGGTAATGTACAAGAACTAGCATTTAGCACTCAAACAAAATATTTAGAACCTTTCAAATACTTCTTTCATATAATCCAGCATCAATATTCCCATTTGACTTCTGTGGAGAAAAGAGTAAAGTAAATATAAAACACTCTATTTTTTGGCTTTCTGTGTCAGGAATTAAGAATCCAAAATTTTATTCACATGCTCTGGCTGTATGTTGGAATAGAGAGGATCAGTGATAGTTACTTGCTGGCTTTGAGTTGGGTTGCTGAGTTAGCTGAAGAAACGTTTCCTTCCCCAGTTTTGGAGTTTGAGATTTGTGTTTCTTTATTCATTTGCTGTCTACTGTTAGCATAAACATCGTTAAAATGTTCAAGCAGGATTTTTTTTAAGCAATGGTCTTCTTTAGGTCTGTAACACAAGTCATGAGCAGTATATCTTCCAGCATCACTTGTAACATGTTTAGTAGTGGTTCTTGCCCCATTTCTAAATTTTTGGCCCAGGACTACTGACAGTCCATTCCCTGCATCTTCTATAATTGCAGGCTTTGTAAAGCAATTTATTCAGCCTCTTCGGAGCTGGTGTGAAGAAGTGATGATACTTACACTTTTAAGAATCTCCTTCCAATACCTGTCTATTAATTGTCCTTCTGACAGAACTCTTAAAGTTAACAATTGTCTTATTGTTTATTTACCTTGACTAGAGTACCCTAGACAGCTTGTCCACATTTGATCAGAGATTGATCCTGTTCACAAGGGGGAAAATGGTGATGAACGAAGACACGTTTTCTGAACTCAGTGCTGTTGAGAGAATTGAAGCCCCCAGTGCAAGAGGGTAGGAGGGAAGAAAGAAGTATCAGTTGTGAAAGTAGGAGTGGAAAGAGGTGTATATGGAACCACAAGAAGATAGTATACTCATAAGTTCGGGTTTTGAAAGGCATTAAACATTCACCAAGAGACCTTGGAATCTCTCCAGGTCTTTTGACACTGTACTTCTACTGTTTCTGCTTACCAGCAGGTCACCAGAACATGGCAGAGTATCTTTTACATCAGCTGCAAGGGGAGAGTGAGGAAAGATTCGTACACATTTGTGTTGATGCGCTGTTTGATTTTGTGTGATGCTAAATATCCTAAGCATGACTGTTCTTGTTGCTCAATAAAGTTTTTATTTTGAGAATATCATGACTTGCCTAACAGATGTAGTTCCTGTTTTTCTGAGAGCTATTTGAGTTGTATATGAATTTTAAATTAACTGTTAACATAGTTTATTTACAAAATAGCATAAAAAACCTCACAAAATTAGAAAAAAAAAAAAGGCACAAAAATATCATGGACTGTCATATAATCTGGACTCTGTCCAAAATATTACCTTTTATGTTTTATTCAGGTATAGCTTCTCAATAGAATCGTGTAGTAAATGCTCGAAGTCTGTACATGGTCTCCCCATCTTATTTCTCTCCCACATTAATATAATTTAGAAAGCAAAGGGGGGAATATGTAACACCTGCCTTTAAACATAGGTGATAGGAATACTTGGCAGCCCGCTCTGATGAAACATATAGGACCTCGGCTGGTATTTCCCACCTGCCAAGCGAGTGCCTTTAGTAACACTTCATGACCCCGAGGAGCACATGACTGATGGGGTTCCCAGGAATCACTGCTGTGATAGCAGCTACTCATGGAAATGTACTGGTTAGGAGACACTCTCTTCCTGAAGTCTCTCTGTTCTTAGAGATGTGAGTGTTTTGTGGATTCCCTGAAAACCCTGAATTGATGTTGGTGAGACATCTGCTGGTGTACTTGCCACTGCATACATACTTGGGAGAAACTCTCTAGTTTTGCATCAGGATTAAGGTAGAAACTGGTGTTGGAAGTGAGTTTTAATCAACCACCAAAAAAGTCTAAGTAGTCCTTTTTATTATATCCTGTTGATTTCTGTCTGCTCAGAGTCATAATCTTACTCTGCTGGACCTGTTTTGTGCCAGCCATTCCAGCTGGCAGATGGCCACAATCTCTGGATGAGAGCACCCAAGTGGAAGCAAAAAAACCAAGACCAATCTTAATTTACGAAGTTTTGGAATATGGTGCTTGACTTTTTGTCTGCTGTTGGATTAATTCTCACTTCAGTGCATCTGTGGTGATGACTGGAGTTATCTCAGTGTGCAGTTATGAAAATAGTGCCCTTTGCATGCAACATTATGCCATATTCCTTGTCCAGTTTAGATTGCATCATATCTGTTCCAAAACCCGATTTGCTGTACAGACACAGAAATGTTGCTTCACTACAGCCATTTGTTTAGGTTTCTCACCACTGTTACTAAATCAGCTTTGTGAATCATAGAATATTCTGAGTTGGGAAGGACCCTCAAGGATCGTCAAGTCCAGCTCTTGAGTGGATGGCCCATACAGGGGGACTGAGCGTGTGACCTTGGCATTGTTAGCACCAAGTATTGACCAGCTGAGCTAATCTTAGGTTCTTCTGTAGTGCCTGTTAGTTTTCATTCAATGTCTGAATTACCTGCCTCCCAGACTTTTTATTTTCTGTTATGCTGCTAGGAAGCCTGAAATTATAAAAGGCTGTCACTCAGTTGTAAAAGAATGTAAAAAAAATTCCTCTCATCTATTAAGCCTCTTGACTTACAAAGCAAAGCCTGAGAATTTAAAGACTGGTATAAGAAGCAGGAGATTATAGGATGAAAAGCATGACCTGTCTGAATTTTGCAGGAATAAAAGAGAATGCGCTTAAATTGAATTAGGGCAGCTTGGCATCATACTCCCACAGAACTACTGCTGTCTTATAAAAGCAGTTGAAAACTATAAAGCAAGGATACAAAAAAGTAATACCAATATAGGATGGATGCCATTTGCTAATAAAAGTTCTTTCTGTTAAGGTGTATTTGGTCTCAGTGCGAGACAGCTCTGCCTGTGTTTTGACAGGTTTGCATTATAAAACTTGAGACAGTGATATAAATGCTATTTGTAGAACGCTGTGAGTGCAGACTTGACCTCAGCCTTCCTTCCCTTCCAGTTCTCTTGGAAAGACATAATATTGACACATAGCCCCATGTGCCAAGAATTGTCAAATCTAGCAATTTGATTGGGACTTTAAAGAGCAGTTATTGTTAATGGTTGGTGTTTGTTTGTTTGTTTGTTTGTTAATTATGTGGTTATATTTAAGAAAATAAATGGATTAGAATAATGTTAGGAGATTTTTTTTGTTGTATTAAAAACGTTTCAATGTAATATTTCAAAGTCTCTGTAAATCACGTTCAGATTCTTCACAGGGAACCTACACTATTAAAGTTACAAACAGATATTATTTTGGCATTGCTATATGGAATTGCTGTTGTGCATTGTGATCATGTGATAATTGTTGATACCTGGAGTGGCAACATGATGAAGCCTTAACTCACAAAGCTCTGCAGTCCTTCATCAAAAGTAAACAAACACCTTTTATCAGTTGTAAAAGGGGTTTCTTTGGTTGGTTATGATTTTGTGAGGTGGTTTTTTTGTTTGGGTTTTCGTTTTGTTATTGTTTTGGTGGGGTTTTTGTTTTGTGGATTATTTGTTTGTTTTTGACAAATCAGTTTCTATTGTTTTGCAAGCATTTCTGTTGGAACAAAAGTTTTATCTTTCTGTGGGAATTTTACAGCTTTACAGGAGGTAATAGTTTACAAAATGAAATGGAATGCATTAATTTTAAGGTATTGTCATTAGTCAGTTTGGGTTGTCTCATCTACATGTCTGATGACAACATTTTCATCTTTTAATACACCACCCTCAAAAGAAGTCTGGTTATTTAGTTAACAACAGTTCATTGTTTGTTGTGGTCAAACCTGCAAGTTCAATGACAGGTCATCCAAATTTCTGAGAGGCAGTTCCAGCATTGCTCGTGTTGAAGATTTGTAACCTAATGCTTGCATTTAGGTTTACAAAACCCCCTGACTGCATGGTGGATTCATGGTTTCCTTCTTGGTATGCAGAGTAACAAATTAATACAGTTTGTGAAGACATTTGAGTATTTATCAAAGCTATATTCGGTAGAAATGCAGCTTTGTAAATCATTCTAAGGGAAAATATTTAGCAATAAAAGCAATATCCCACCCTAAACAATCAAGATGAATATTACAAATTTGTGCTCCTGTAAACCTGCATTATTCATTCCTGTCTTTGGAATAAAAGATGTGGGTGCTCAGTTAAATGTGCTGTTATTTTAAAAAGGGACCTGTAGATACTGTGGTTTCTGAACTGCAGGGTCTGTCCAAGACTACATTTTGTTTTCTGAAGAGCACTTTCTCTGTGTTGTAATTAAAGGAGAGGATGTTTGTTCTGCTTTTTGTCTCTTCTCCTGGCTGGGGATTTCTTGCTTAAACAATGCAATTAATGTTTTTGAACTGAAAAATCACGAGGATATTAATTATTGTTAACAATTAAGTATTGAATTGCCTAATCTTAAACCTTACATTAAAAAGGAAGTAGTTAATAGCACTGTGTTTGAATTACCAGCTTGTCTTGAATGAGGTATTCAAACATTTGTATGGGTTCTGTCTGTGCTTTTTCTTTCAGGGAAAGGTAAACTATACATGTTTGGCAGTAACGACTGGGGCCAGTTAGGACTAGGATCAAAGAACACTGTCAACAAACCAACATGTGTTAAAGGTTTGTTTAATTTATCTTTGTTTGTTTATTTGTTTTGTCTTTTTGGAAGAAGACCCCCGTGAAAAGGTACTTCATAAGGTGCAGTTCCAAAATAACTGACTCTGCCATCTTTACTCATCACTTCTAGCATATTACTGCACAAGATAAGGAAGGAGCTTAAAAGGATCCCTGATCGATTTTCCATCACTTCCAGATTATGAGTCCTTTTGCATCCGAGGGTTACTTTGGATATAAAGAATCCTATCATTTTTGAGGGCTCTGATTATATATAATATTAGCCTTTTCTGACAAACCATGTCTTCATGGTTGCTGCAAAGACAATAATTAAATACTTGGTCTCTGCACTGTTGTCCACTGTTGTTAGAAATCAGAGTTCCAACAGCATTATGTAACTTTTGTTTCACTTCTGTTTTAGCAACTTTGTAAATGAAAAAAATCTATCAGAAACTTTCTACAGGGGCAGCTACATTTTTAGCAAGTATAAGAAAGCCCAAAGGGGCATAAATGTTAATACATTTGTATGAAGCAGTAAGATAAATGCCTATATTCTTTTATGTACCTGAAAATATGTTTTCATTGCACTGTGATCTTCTTGATCTTTCCTAGCTGTTTTTATCTTGTCAAACAAAACTAAGTCAATACTTTTCCCTATCTCCTTACTCATGTCAAGTCAGATCTATCCCATTAACACATTTCTTTTCACCATTAGATGTTTATCTTCAGCCTTTCTGCCACCAGATCGATCTGTTAGCTTATTGTCAAAAACAAATTATCCTGCTCGTTCAAACTCTGTTCTTCCTGATTTAGTTTATTCTACTGTCCTTTATTTGCTCCTGTCTCTATTTCACTTCAGAGGGAGAATGCAGCTGCTCTCAGGTTCACATCTTCTGTCAGCTGTGTGAGAGATTGATTCTTACCTTGGCTTAAATGGATTGGGTGTCAAGTTTTGTTTTTACTGTCAAATTGCAATGGAGAATAAAAGATGAAGAGAAGATGACAGCAATTCAAACCAGACCTGGCATCCATTGAAAAAAGTCACAAGGGGGGTATCTTTCTTCTCTTGGCAATTGGCAGAAGGAGAAAGTCCTTGAGCTTTTCTCACTAGCCTTTGGTCATCACTTGGCTTTGGGAATGGGGTTACAAGGACACATTTCAGTTTCTGCTTGGAGCCAAATGGTTGTGACTGGATGTTTTCTGAGAAAATATCTTCTGGGATTTGACTAGAGACTAATGAAATTGGTTATGAAAAATTGCCAGCAATACTGTAAATATAGCACATCTCATCAAATACAGTTGATTAACCTAAGTGGGAGGGACCTCTGTATTCTTTCTTTCCCACCAAAATAACTCTTGACTCCTCTCACATACATTCCCAGTCTTTCAAAGTGACCAGACTTCAGAGAAGTGCTTGCAATGAAATTGAGACAGGATGGTACATGCAAAAAATGTAGGCACTAGTCCAGAGAGGGCTGTCCTTGGGAATTGAATTCAGTGATCAGCAGGAAGACAGTACAGAATAAAAGTCTAGCAAAAAAGGGATGTGTGCATTAAAAAGGAAGGGTAAGACAAAAGAAGGGTACGGTTTTAAAAATTTAAGGTAGTGGGGGAAGTATAAGAGGGAGTTAAGAATAGTACTGTAAATGAAAAATGAAAACAACTTTAAACATGTGTTTTATCCTGCAACTTGATATATTCTTTGAGGCAAATCCCGTAAATGGTAAATTCCAGGAACTGCGGCATTGGGTTGAAGTAAACATCATCAATTTAACTTGAGTGTCTTAAGTTACTAAGGTCTGATCTGATTTCTTATCTTGAGGGAATACTGATTTGGTAAGTCATGCTAGGTTCAAATAAGCAAGAAATATTATTATCATTCAGAGCTCCCTCTAGAACACAGAGCAGTTTGCTGTTGAAACACCTATTGGCTTGTTTATAACTTTCCCCCCCTTTCACTTTAATCCATAGCTTTAAAACCAGAAAAACCAAAACTTGCTGTTTGTGGAAGAAACCACACTTTAGTTTACACAGGTATGTAATCTATATTGTGTACATATTACAAATAGATTTCTTCCCTTGCTTTCAAGCAAAATCACATTGGGAGCCCCAGGACTGATGGGGAAGGAAAATAAATGAAAATGGGACTGCTAAAACTTGGGGTTTTGACATCCAATTCTTAGAATATTTGATTTATTCTGAGGCAATAATAATTTTGAGGCATTTATAAACTATTCTTATATAGCAGTTTGCCAGCAATAGACTTGGGTACAAATTTCTTGCTGTCACTTGTGGTGTGGTTAACAGTTATCAGTATTTCATTTAAGCCCTGTAAAGGTATATTATTATTTTTATATGCATCTGTTCTCAAATTTACCTTTGACAAGTAATATTTATTAGTCTGAAGTTGTTATATGTTTGGGTAAATATAGTAGAACTGTGTGTTTTCAAGTCTTCAAATTTTCTGTTTAGACAACATAGTCTGCCATTTCAATGACAAGTTGCTTTATTAAACTATAAATAAATAAATTGTAAATTTAAATTTAAAAATAAATTTCTATAGAGACAGTATCCAGAGAATTTATGCAAACTCTTGTCGTGCTTCTGTAATTTATGTAACCAAATAGCCATCTTTGTGGTTGCAATCCTTTAGCTTTTAGTAATGTTATAAAGAGGATTGTTTGATTATGGGGAGTTTTATATCTGTGGAGATGCTGAGCACTGTAAATAAGACTGTTAGAATAAAAAGAAGATTGTAATAACAGTGGAGTATGCAAGACTGCACAGGGTAAATATCAGTCACTTTTGATGTACATATTGGCCAGATCATTTGTGGCCATTTATATAGCAAGAATAGTTTATAAATTGAGTGTCAGTGGCTTATCACATTTCTGTCTGGATCTGTGTTAATAATGGGCCTTATCTATTTCATCATAGATGAGCACTTTAGATGTGAAACATAGTAAAATTAAAAATATAAATCTTAAAGTTCTCTTAAGTTGAAGATATCGGTTGTCAGCATTAAGTTAAATTTTAACACTATGAAACAAATACATAGTTAATTAAATTGAAAGTTATCTGAATATTAAAGTAAAATATTTCTAATAAAAAACTAAGTAAAAATGTATTTCATTCACAGTACTCAAAACTATCAAGTTATTAATCTCTTTAATTTACATACTAATACACCTTCAGTTTTCTTATCTGGGACATAATTCACTATTTTCCTTTTATTTTATTTTAAAACATGCATTACTTGTGAAAGGAGTTGCTTCTGGTTGCCAGGGCTGTTGGTAGTAATTTCCTCAGAACTCTTGCAGAAACTTCAAATTATATTTATTTGTTAGGCCAGTCTTCAGAATATTGAGGAATGCAGACAGTCTAAATACATGTAAGGGTTTTAGGAAGTTCGGATCCAAGCGTGTGCAGGAAAGCCTCCTTGTTAGCTACAAAAGAAACTGCTCATGTCAGCTCAGGTGTAATTCAGGGCAGTAGACCCAACACTTCTGTGATGTTTTTCCATTGAGATTTAAATTTCTTGCTCCAGTTTCTTCATTCTATGTGTTCCATGTGCTCTTCTGTATGCAGAAAAAGGAAATGTGTATGCTGCTGGAGGTAACAGTGAAGGTCAGCTGGGATTAGGTGACACAGAGGAAAGGACCACATTTCATTTAGTAAGTTTTTTCACCAGCCAGCACAAGATCAAGCAGCTAGCAGCTGGATCATACACCTCAGCAGCAGTAACTGGTAAGAGCAACTGCTGATAAAATCTACTTTTATGTGTCCAGCCTGGTGTTCCAGGGAAACACTCCAGCATTCTGTCTGCATATGTGGATGTATTTTCTATCCTCCCTGTCTTCTTTCCTTGCTAACCATAGTCATTTTTTGATAACCAATTGCCTATTTTAACACAGTCTGGGGAGGGGTGGCAGTCTTACTATCTTCCTACAGTTTTTGTGAAAGTAGAACTTTTCCACGAGCGATGGCCTGCAGTGGCAGCTTGACCTGGACTAGAAATCCTTACAAAAGATAAACAGTATGAATACCCTCAAAATGGAAAAAGTCTTCAGTGTATTTCCAGGGAAGCCAACTACAAAACATGAATCTTGTGAAAACCAGGCATCTCTAATTCCACTTCTTACTTCAACTGTTTTGGTCTGTTGGCACATCCTACACAGCTGTGTCATTCCTTACTAATTCTGGGAGTGTCCAAACCCAGCGCCTATTTCTCAGGTGTCAAAATTATACCATCACATTATGTTGGAGTCCACACAGTTATAATACTTTCAGCCATTGGGTGGTGGTCCTATATTACCCTATAAAGTACTTTCTCAAAGTTTTGGTGTAAAGCAGCTGTTTCTATACATATTTAGGATAACCTATTGAGGCTGTAATTTCAGATTGCTATCCTGCTTGTTTGGTTCTTACCTTTTTATGATGATTACTGACATTCTCCTGAGATTTTTAAGACAACTTTGAATGATTTTCCTTCCTAACACTGTCTCAGTAGCACTGCAGATGGTACATTTTTTTTATTCACAGCTTATTTCCCACTGGTAAGAAAAATACAGAGACAAGACTGTTCGTTTTCTAGAAGAGATTTTTCATGTTGTTTGCTACCTTGTTTGTTTGTTTGTTTTTTACTGCTGCCATTGGTCTTTGTGTCAACAGAGGCTGGTTTTAATTAACCTGCAGCAGGTATTGTGGTAGTTCAAGGAAAGCAAAATTAAGCTGGGCAACATAATCAGCTGTGAAGAGAACTGAAAGATAAGGCATGAGTAAGTAGGATGTGTGACAGAGTCAGAACAGAGAATAAGTTTGGAAGAATAAGAAAGAGGTGACTTGAACCTAGAAATTAGAAGATACTTTAAATTCACTGTAATATTTTCATACTGACCTCTAGCAACTGAATTGTCTTACACACTCAATCTTCCTCTTTCTAAAGGAGTGTTTTTACATAGTACTTTTGCTGTTGCTATTTATGGTCTAACATCAGTTGATGAATAAGTGTTCTCTGTCACTTTTGAAAGGCTTAATGGATACCCTCTTACTTCAGACTACTTTGTTACATTGTGCTAAGTATAATTTTATGTCCCTGGGATCATGACATTAGTAGTATCATACACAGATTTTCTGAAACACTCTTCAATAAGTAGATTAACTTTTTAGTAATTTTTGTTTTAAATCTGTTAACTATCTGTGTTTTCATTTTAGAGGATGGGCAGCTTTTTGTGTGGGGTGATAATTCAGAAGGTCAGATTGGCCTGGCCAATGAATCCTGTGTCAGTGTCCCTTGTCGAGTGGATATTGGAAAACCTGTTTCCTCTGTATCCTGTGGATATTATCACTCTGCCTTGATAACAGGTAAGAAGAGGAATAGAGGTTAGTGATGGTCAAACAATAATCTCCCTCTTCTCTAGAAATATACATATTGAAGAGTTACTATGTTATGAGGAAAAATTAATCTCATGTGCTTGCAGTGCAAGGTTGTTATCAAAGTTTGATGTTATATCTTAAATTTTGGGTTTTGGAGTCAGTTAAACAGACAGTATATGGTATGAGGAGAAGCACATGCTACAGTGAGCTGTTGGCTGATCTCCAAACCAACTCACCTCTCTTTTGCCTTCCAATTCTGTCCTCCCAACTCTCGGTTTCCAGAGTGAAGATTCTGCTATTTTTAAAATAATGCCAGCATGGGTGAATTTATCAGCCAGTATTGACGGTGTTATGTATGAGCAGCCGTGAATTCCTCTCAGCCATATAGATTTACATTATTAAACTTTACAGTTTGGTCCCCTCAGAGTAATTAAAGATTTCAAAGGATCAATAGTTTTGATTGTAAAGCTTTTAATGGGTACCCAGGAGCTATTCCATCAGACACCTTTCTCAGGTTACTTGATAAATGTTACTTTTCCACATACGATATTATATCGCTCCCTGAGAACATGCTGTTAACAGAATGAGAGCTTGCTATGGTGGACAAATATTAATTAGGTGTTATGCTGGTAGTGTGCAACCTTTATTACAGTAAATGAATTAAGTGCCTGGGACTGATGAGGAGCTCAGCACCTGTTAGGAAACGTACAGCTTCTGAAACTCAGAATATATGGGGAAAAAAAAGATGCTTACTTGATGGATGGGGTAAGAAGGTGTGTCTCTCTGCCTTAGAGCCATGAGCTGAAGCTCTGAAACTGCAGTGGGATGTCACAAAAGCTCTCTTTAGTAGAAAGGTTGAGGACAAGCATGTAAGAGTAAAGAGAGAACAGTGTGTGCTGCCAAGTGCTCTAAGGAAGTGGAAAGTTTTAATGAAAGGGGATAACAAAGAAGGCTTGGGGTTTCAGCTGGTTAAGAAAAATTGAGCCTCTCAAAATATTAAGAGGAAGATGAACTGATTATCACCTGTGAAAATGAGGAGTTGTTGAACCTGTTACTACCTAAACAGGCCTGAATATGAGATGGAATATCTTAATTTTGAGCTTTAGCATCTGTAGATCCTTCACAAATTTGGCTTCAGTCTATCTCGCTGAAACTGCTGACACACACACATGGCCTTTTTTGTGGTGAAAGTATAAATTTTTTTTTATTACTTTCCTTTGGGCCCTTGCAGACAGCTTTATTTGACTGATACTTCAGCTACCATAAAAATTTAGTATTGGACATCCAAGTACTTTTGCTGAATTGATCTTCTGTTGTACTGGTGTCGGTGTGTATCCAGTGTTTAACAAACCTTATGCATTTAATCCGAGTGTACCATAGTCACACAATGTGTTCTAGTTACTAGATACCATAGAATTACTACACTTTGACTTTTAAACATCAAATAATATACGGTGTTTAATAATGTAACATACTGGCAGGATGTAAGACCTAATACGTGCTGTCAGGCTGAACGATGAGCACGGCACCATATGGTTCCCTCTCTTAATATGTTTATGTTGGACATAAGGTGTACATTAGCTAAGCAGACTGTTAGGATCACAGGCATATCTGGGTTAAAACTAAAAAGTGGTTAATGAGGATACTGGAATACATAGTGTGGACACAGAGTGCCCTCTCCAGGGCAGGATGTTCATTAATAAGTAAAATAGTATTGAAGTATGGATTCCAGCTTTCTTTTTTCTTTTAACTAAAATTGTTATTTCTTTGAAATGGGTGGTTTTAAAAAGATTTTTTACTAGGTTTTTGTCTTTAAATTGTTTAACTGCTGTAAAGCACAGTGCAGTGTCACTTATCTAGTAGTTCCAAGAAAGTTTATTACCTTTCTTACTTTTGCTTTCTAGAAGGCCTTCTTTTCAGACAGTATTGGTTCCTTTCCTTCTTCTTTGCATTCTTTAAAGAGTTCCACTGAAAAGAAGATTTTAGGGCTTCCAACCCTCTTCAGGACTTTTTCACAGTATGTTTCCTTTCTCTTTGCAGACTTGGGATGCTGAGTCCCAGTATTTGAGATCTGTCTCAAACAAAGCAACATAGAAACAAAGAGCTGGAAGAGTGTAGCAACGATTTTGAGCCCTTACACAGATCCTTACTTGATGTGCCTCACTCAGGAGGGGACAGTTTTTCAGGAAGCATTAAGGTTGGCAAGCATGTGTAGCTCATCCACTGGAGGAGATGGAGAGTAGGAAAAGCTGATGTACCTAAACCACTGCTCTGGTGTCTACAGCAGAATTAGATTTGTGGAGCCAGAAAGGAGTTGAATATATTCTTATATCTTCTAGTGTCTCCTCTGCCTGAGTTGTTACTGTAATCAAGGTCAAGATAAATTCTCTTTGAAAAGATGTCTTTTCATAGAGACCTTTGCAGTTTCCTCGAGTTCCTTCCTTAATGTATTTTGTCATTATTTCTAAGGACTGGTTTTAAAGATCATTCATCCCACAAACACTTAAGTGCTCTGAATTTCAGTGTCTGAGATGGTTTTAACCAGCTTGGTCTTAAAAAAAATAGTTCTTTTTTTTTTCTTCCTCATTTATTCAAGGAATGATAGAGTAATCCAGTTGTTTTGTCCACTGTCCTCATTTGCTACCAGCCAGGTCTCCTATCTGCTCTCATCTGCAGGATGCACATTTGCCTTTGGGAGACATTTTTCATTTGCTTGCCCATTTCCTTGACATGCTCCTGGGACCTAAAGTTTAGTGATACAGAAAATGTGCCACGTCAGGGAAAGTTCAGCACCTGAGAATGTGACTCATGTGAGAGAAGAAAAATAAATAACCAGGTTCTGTTGTACTGCACACAGTACATCATGTCCTTAGCATGCAGATTTACTGCACACATGCTGCACTCAACATTTATCTGGGTTTGACTGGATTCTTTTTATGCTTGATTGCTATTCTTCATAGCTTTTAGACCACTATTTGCCTTAAAGGGATGTGTAATGTATTCAAAAATTGCTTTAGTAAATGGTTTTATCTTTGTTAGCTGGATTATTAAGTTGAAAAAATGTAATAAACTTGATTAGTTTGGGAAGTCATTGGAAGCTTGGCCATTTGAATCTCTAATCCTATTAATTAGATTGTGATTGGATTAATTTTTTCAGTGCAGTAGTGTTTAAAAAGAACTGCTGGTCTCTTCAAAGAGAACTGACTAAGTAGTTATCTCCCAAGTGCTTTTAGGGGTTTATCCACTCATTTCCAAAAATATGAGGCTGATCTAAGAGTATTAAAACAATATTCACCTTCCAAAAAATACAGGTTCTTTTTGTTGTTGCGTTTTTTCCATTCTTTTTGCTTGGAATCCCTAATAAAATCTCTGTCAGCAGAATGGTTACAGAAAACCACACATTGCAGTTGTTTTTTTCTCTTTTTAATTGGGCTGCTGTTTTAGAATAGAAAATTGATGCTGCTGCAAATAACTGCAAAGTATCAGCTTGTTCAGAGTGTTTCTGCACATAGACATAAGAAGAAAAAATTAAAACAGGAAATCAAACTGAACAGAAAAGCCTAAACACGGTCCATAGGCTGGAAATGAAATGAAATATACTTTTTTACAGCTGAGATAATTTTCTGATTCTTAAAAAAGGCAGACAGATTGAAATGACTGCAAAACAACTCCTAGAAAAAAATATAGAAGAATGTAGAAAACCCTTGAGAGGAGACAACTGAGAGGGGACCTCATCAACATCTGTAGATACCTAAAGGGAGGTGTCAGAGGATGGACCAGGCTTTGGTCAGCGGTGCCAAGCAACAGGATAAGAGATAACGGGCAGCAACTGATGCCCAGGAAGTTCCACCTGAACATGAGGAAGAACTTCTTTACTGTGCAGTGACCGAGCACTGGAACAGGTTGACTAGAGAGGGTGTGGAGTCTCCCTCACTGGAGATATTCCAGAGCCACCTAGACACAATCCTGTGCCATGTGCTCTGGGATGACCTTGCTTTTGCAGGGAGGTTGGAGCAGATGACCCACAGTGCTCTCTCAGAGGCAGGATGTATACAGTTTTGGTTTTCCCTTGGCTGCATTTCTTGCAGACTAAATATTGTGATTCTGATCTTGGAGGGGGCTAAAATCTAGCACCTTCATGTCCCATCAAAGGAGAGCTTTGCACAGCTGTTTGGGCATTATACAAATATTTTCAGTTACCCTGTAATGACTTTTCTGTTAATGGTTTGTGTCTGCAGCAGTCTTGACAACCCACCCTTGCTTCTGAGTGCATGCTGGAAACCATGCCCTGTTCCATATTTTCACAGGAGATGGTGAGCTCTATACTTTTGGAGAACCTGCAAATGGGAAACTGGGATTATTGCCTGAACAGCTGAAGAACAATAGAGTCCCACAGCCTGTACTGGGAATTATGGAAAAAGTTAATAAGGTTGCTTGTGGTGGAGAGCACACAGTGGTGCTGACAGGTATGTAATTTAACTGGCTTTTTTTTTTTTTTTAGCCCTATAACTTAGTCTTAAATTCAATTTCCTTTAAAGAATTTGCTTCGCACTGAAATTGGATGTAAATGGGATCCTGCTTGATACCACTGGTGACACCACTTGTGTGACCTTGCCTTTATCAAGCAAGTTCCCACGTAAATGTCTTTTTATGACAATATAAATGATGTATGGAGTTGTTTTACATGTAAGAAAGTCCTGTAAGAGCTCAAATGACCGAAATGGGGTAACCTTCCAGGGATGGGATTTGCACAGCATGCTGAACCTGTTCAATTCCACACAGCTTGGGATTCCCGGCAAATGAATACTATCTTGGGGTTTTTTATAGTCTTAGCTCCAATAAATAGCATTTTAAGAGAAGTTTACCTAGTCTGAGAGCCTCTCTTACTGGAACTGTAATAAACCAGCACCTCCTAGTGCAACACAAATGATTAATGCTTTTTTCCTCTAAGGACTTTAAAAGTGGTATTGCAGTGAGGGGGGAAATTTTAGAGGAAAGATTCCATTCTGTAGTAAATTGAAATGACCTTGAATATTTAGAAAGTATTTAGGGAGTCGCTTTTCAAGCAGTAGCTCAAGTAGTCACTTTTTCAAGTAGCAGCTTCACTATCTGCTAGATGCCTGAGTGAATTAAATATCTCTTCTTGTGATACAGATTTTCCCTGTGCCTTTGAGGAGAATCTTTAGCACACATATAAAACTAGTATAGATATAGACATTTGACATATCATACAAGTTATGAAAATCAGCAAATACAACTGTTACAGAATAGTTCACAGGGCCACATGTATAGTATTTGGAAGATGGTGTATGTTACTGAACTTTTAAATAGTTATCTAGCAGTGACTCAGCTTTTCCAAGAGATATGTGCAAAGCATTGCTGGCTATTTATTTCCACAAGTTCTATCCTGAACTATAGTACTAGAGAAGCAGGAAAGGTAAGTTTCACTTTGCCTACAGATGGTTTAAAAAGTATCAGCTTTGGCTTGTAACGAATATAATATCTGTAAGGCTGTATAGCCTGTAATTGTTCTCCTACCAAAATTGCAAAAGCTATAAAAACAAGTTGGATATATAGTTATCAGTCCTTAAATCTGTATTCTGAAAAGTCTATGTATTCTCTTGTCAATCTTGTGACATGCCTTCGAGGTTATGCAACTAAAATTTCAAAAATATAAACTGAAAATCTAACTGAGGGAGATTGCAGGTAATATGATGTGGTATTGTACTGCAAGCCATTGGAGAGAGTAAGGGTGGAAGTGAAATGCTGGGAAAGGCTGTGTGTAATGATTCAAGCTGCAAGATTCTGGGTAGGATAAAATTCCTTTGGGAAAACTATGAAGAGGAAATAGCAGTACCCAATCCAGGAAATAATGCAAACATATGTCTAAATTTCAATGACTTTGTCTCTCATCTTCCACCAACATGCAGTCTTACCCTGGCAGTATTCTATGTCATAAAATAAATTTCTTTACATGAAATCAGATTATCATTATGAGCAAAAGAATTACCATAAATTGTAGGCCAACAAATGTGTAAATCATAGCAGTATTTTATCTGTTATAAAGTGAAGTTCTGCAGAAAGAATTTGATTATCATTATTGATTGGTTTTTAACCATAAATCTGGATTCAAACAATAGATATTTCGTTCTAATGGTATTTCATGTGATAAAAATTCATCACAACAAACAACTCTTACAGAGATTTAGTAGAAAGGTGAAGACCTGAATGCCATCATCATTACAGTGAAATCTGTACAAGAGCTAGAACAAGGAAGCAAAATATAAATGCCAAAAAACTAAAAGTAGTAGAAGGACATACCATAGTAAGATATTTTCATATTAATACATCGTAATGTAAGCCAGTGTCTTAATATGTAAGATTCAGTTGCTTATGGAAATAGATTTTGTAGTAGAAGGCAAATAAGAAATTCAGTGCTGGCTTAGCTGTCAGTCAAAGTGTTGAGTGCCAGGAGATCTAGTTGAGTCACCAAAAGAGGAAAAGTATAACCTCAAACAAAATAAAGATTCCTAAAGATTAACAGCAGTTGTTATAGGAGTGAAAAGTCAGATAGTTGTTTTTTTAACGTGATTCAGCTATTATTAAATTGGTTACAGCTGTGAACTTCTGCCAGGACACTGAGTGAAAGAGTAGAGGGTAGTGGAACTACTGTCTGGAGTGAAAGATACTTTGTCAATAGTGTTAACATAGAGAAATTTTTCTGTCTCAAAGAAAAATTTGGGAAAAAAATGTGAAAAGGGATAGGTATGGACAATAATAATTTTAAAAGTGATTGTGACATAGTTTTAGCACCAGAAACTTAACTTGAAATCAGTCCTGAATTGCATCTTGAGATAAAACAGAGTGACCACAAATTGAGAATTCTGATGATATATCTTTGAAGAAGAGCAGAAGCATTTATACCTGTTTTAAGCTCATTTTCATGAATTAAGAAATCAGTACAATTTTGAAGAAATTCCTCATTTCATGTATCATCTTCCATAAAAATGAGTGCTGCTTGGTCTTAGTAACACAATATATCACAATACTGATATGGTTCTCATCCTTTCAGGGTCTTTCCAGTTTTTAAGGATGTGACATTTCATTCTTAAAAAAACCCAAGAAGTGAGTGTCTGAGTATTGAATATTCCCCAGCCTCATCTATCTCATTTAACATAGCAATAGGGTAGGAGGAAGTGTCATGTGGAGAGACTGTTGCACGTCTTGGCTCATTTCTTGCCATCATTTCTACTTAAGGTTTATCAAATTAGAAGAAATCATAATCCAGTTATCTTACAAAGTACAAGGCAAGTTTCTTCCTGACTGTCATGCATAATTAGTCTGTTCCAAAGCACTTCATTTGATTTCTTTTTTATGACTTATCTATACTATTGGCAATTTTGTATGGTGAGAACCACTGTTATCTGGGTTATAAATGAAGCTACTGTTCAGAATCTCTCCAACAAGTATCAGAATAAGTGGTAGAATTTTATATTAAAATAATTCCTTTTTTTTTTTTTTCTCTGAAATTCCAAAATAGGAAACTCAATTATTTTTCCCAAAGGGCAAGAACTAAATTGTTGAGACCAATGTTTGGGGATAAAAAAACCCTCTTAAAGTTAAATTTTTGAAATACTGACTATGGTATTGGTATTTGAATCTATCTTCTTTACAAGCCTTAACGTTACTTCTGCCTTTAATATATGCAGTTGTTCTAGAGAAGGAACAAAACTGCAGTTAAAAATTCTAGCATTCAGAAGCTTTCTCTCCCTGAGGTAGCACAAACCTATTAATTTCATGGCGGTCGTTCAGCCAGTCCGAGAAGGTCATATCCTCATCCCACGGGAGCCCTCTCAGAGACTGAAATACCTACTACCCACTACCCCAGTGCTTGCAGCTGCTTCCTGCTGAAAATGAAAGGTATTGATGTTATCACTTTCAAAGGAAATGCAAGGGAGCAACAATCACAATTTGTGTACTTTTTCAGTCCAGCGTTTTAACAGGATAATAATAAATGTGAATCTAGGCATTGGAGAAGAGGAAACAGATGATTTGGAATGGCGTTAATATCTTCCAGTTTTTTTCAGATGACGGCAGATCCTCTGGGAATAATCTTGCCTACAGAAGGATATATTACCTCCTTTCATTCTCTGAAAGGAGGGAAAGCAAAGATAGCTCTTCAAAGGAAAAAGTGAAGAAGTCCTTCAAGAATAGAATGTTTGACACAACAATACAGCACATTAGTGCATTAGTATGTAAAATGTTGGATTTTTCATCTTCTGTCTCAAGGTCTTTTAGAAAGAAAAGAAAACCACAACACCCTTTGAAAGAGGATGAAAAGGATGATAAAGCTCTACCTTTTCCTGACAGAACCCACTGTTCAAACCACATGGGATTATCTAGATTTTTCAAATCATTCTTAAATCTTTATATTATTCATACTGAAATCCCCAAATCCAATTACTAGGTCTGGTAATACTGAGTATTGTGTTGATAGATGATTTTTTGCAGTAACATTTTTCAGTATAAGATGTTTAAAAAGAAAGCTACTGTAAGAATGAATAGCCCATTGACATAATAGTTACAGTAATAATAATAATAGTAATAATATTTGGAAATTAATCTATGGGGAGAGGCCACCAAGATGATCAGAGGGATAGATCACCTCTCCCATGAGGAAAGGCTGAGAGAATTGGGGTTGTTCAGCTGGAAAAGAGAATGCTTTGGGGTGAACTAATTGCAACCTTCCAGAACCTGCAGAGAGCCCACAAGAAAAATGGAGAGGGACTATTTATAAGAGCATGTAGTGACAGGATGAGGGGGGAATGTCTTCAAACTGAATGAGACTACATTTAGATGAAGAAATTCTTCACTTAGAAGGTGGTGAGGCACTACAAGTCGCCCAGAGAAGTTGTGGATGCCCCATCCCTGGAAGTGTTCAAGACCAGGCTGGATGGGGCTTGGGACAACCTAGTCTTGTGAAAAGTGTCCCTGCCTGTGGCAGGGAGGGTTGACACTAGATGATCTTTAAGGTCCCTTCCAACCCAGACCATGCTGTGATTCCATGATTCTATGATGTAAGCATACCTGTTTGCTCTGGTTTAGTTCTGTGGGTTTTTAAACTTCATCTGTAGCCTTAAATACATATCAGTGAATACATAATTCCTAAAAACATTCTCAGAGCTCACACAGTTCTTTAGGTAAATGACATGTTTTAAAAAAAATATGAAAGTTATATAGATTTTTGCCTAGGACTATTTTATTGATAGTGCCAGTAATCATGGAGATTACAAAATATGCCTGCACAGATGCACTGGAGACAGTGCAATTTTTTACTGTAGGCAAATCCAAGTTCAGAATGGGGAAGTTTATCACTGTCATTTTATCACTAAGTGTATGAGGTTGCTTTGCCATTCACTTTTCTTTCCATGTATTTATAAGGACAGATTGGAGAAAATACCTCATTTCTACTAAATGAGGTTATTATTGAGGTTCGGCCTCACTGCCACACCAGAGCAGTGAATTGCTTAAGAAAGATGCAAGGTTTTTCTCTTCCTGTGCCCTGTTAATTGACTAAGAAGTAAGTTTAGGAGGAGCAACATTTAGGTGCCCCTGGTCTGTAAGAGCAGCAGCAGAAGTCATTGTTCTTATAAAGACGCTCCAGCCCAGCTTGGGATCGCCCCTTTCTCCTCATTGTCAGCAGAAAGAGATAAAAGAAAAAATTTCCTGCACTTTTAAAATTAACATTTGAGAACATCTCCCTCTAGACGCAAAGGAAGAATACATTGCTTATTTCGTGCTAGAATTAAAGATAATGTGAAAAAAACCCTCCAACTTCACTCAAAGTAATTACGTTAATCATATAAAACCATATAATTTGAAAATTACAAGATCTACCAATTTCCAAAGAAACGTTAAGACAAATGCAATACTTCTAAGCAGAATTTATGGAATCAGCCATCCTGAGGAAGTAATTTGCTAAAATGAATAGGAGACTCTGGTTTGCTTAGAAAAAGCTCCTGTCTTTCAGGTGTAGTTTCTTGATCCTTGTGCAGAAAGTCTAAATGTTACAGGAAATTTCTGGGTTTACTTTCTAAAGCTCCTGAGAAGGTGTTGCTTTCTTCCACTAAAATTTCCAGCAGAGGGAGCTTTCCCATTGCATTTAGTAAAAAAAAAAAAAAAAAAAAAAAGGTTTACTCAATATCTTTCATCTACAATCTGGAAAAAAGTGAGACCGTTGGGTTTTCTTACAGTGGGAATTCATGACATCTTAATATGGCACAGTTTTAAAGGAATAGAAAGGGCAAAGCCTTTCCTAGAAAGAACATTTCCATATGTAGTGCATTATTTCATCGAGGTTCTTTTAAAATCGGAAAGTTTAGTGTAAGTGTACTGTGGTAGTGATTTGTAACTGAGTCTGTTCTCTGCTTTCTCTTTCCCTGACAGCAGTGAAGGATTTATTGAAGGATTTATCTGAGGGAATGGTTACATGATCAGTTTTTAGTTTTTCTCCAGTTTGTGGATCCATTTTGATCTGATGGCATCTCTGCAGTCAAAGTGGGCATGTTCTGCACCGAATTCATAACACTGATGTAACAATATCTTTTGCTCCCAAGTTCTTTTTACTTAACATAGAATAATTTTTGTCCTTTCCAATCTTTCCCAGGTTTACTTAATAGTTTTTCAAGTACTTCAAGTAATAGTTCTCTGGCTTTTCCTTTGTTGCCCACATGCAAAAGAAAAAGGAGCAGGGAATAAAATTCTAGGAAAACTTCTTGTTTTTCCCAAAGAACTTCTCTTTTCAAGCATGACCTCATCAAGATTTCCAAGCTTCACAGTCTTCCCCTGTTGTGATGGAGCGCCAGGGATGGACACACCAAGAATCTTTATTGCATTGGAGAAGCTTTTATTCTTTTTCCTGGCACAGACAGACCATTAAACAGACAAAATGTAAATGTGGAAAGATGATTATTCTGTCACAAGATAACACAATTGTAGTCTTCTCTGTATTTAGTGCAGGGCTGATTTGGTAGCTGAACAGAATGCTGAAACCTCTTCTGTTCCAGTCACTTCTTACATACAAATGAATATTGGTTTAAAGAGGTCTTGTCTATGAATTTTAGGGTCATACAAGGTACGTGAAGGTAAAGAGAAATTAAGATGAGACTATTGCACTTGAAAATGCACATATGTGTAAACATTGTGGTCTTGAATTGATTGCAGTATGTAACTTTCGTTAATTTTTTTTTTTAATTGGTACCTCATTTATTTGTGACCAGTGGGTTATTTTGCATTTATGTTAGAAAATATATGGCATATTGAATCATTCAAAAATTTCTGTATATATTTTAGTGCTTCAGTTTTTGTTTTTTTTTTTTTTTATTTTATTTTTATTTTTATTTTTATTATGTCGTATGTTGTTATTAATTGATAAATGTAATTGATTAGGGATAGTACATTTTTTTAATTATTTTTTTAATTGATTAAAAATTGCTTTTTTGTTGCTGATATCAGTTGCCTTCCCTTTGGCTAATAGAAAGCCGTTTACTATATAAATATATATATGTATATATATTAGCATATTTTTTATTTACTTTGCCTGTGCAATTTCAGAGACAGATGTCTATACTTTTGGACTTGGACAATATGGGCAGCTGGGCCATGGTACTTTTGTTTTTGAATCTTCCGTACCAAAGTCTGTGAAGCACTTGAAGAAGCATAAAATACGTAATGTTGCATGTGGGGAAAATCACACTGCTGTAATAGCAGGTATGTAAGTGCAAAAGTCTGAAATGAACTTCCAACAATTTGCTATTGTATCTGTTATACAATAAACAGTAGCAGAAAATGTGCAAGTGTACTGGTTCTGAAGGGTAAATGAGTCAGTGAGGAAGCCAGACGGAATTCCTGATTCACAACCATGCCACGCGTGACTCTGTGCCCTGTATCTCCTGGGGAATTATAGCCTCATAAACCTGCCTTGCTCTAACAAAATTCTTGCTTAGATGCCTTTGTTTTTCTCTACTGTTTAAATCTTGTTATTTTGTTAGGGTGTTTTTTGTTTTTTGTTTTTTGTTTTTTTTTTTTTACGAATTGTCTAGACTAACTTGCATCTCAGACAGTCCTTTGTCTGAAAACATGCATATTTTTTAAAATCATATTCATCTGTTGAAATTCCAAAAATAATTGTTCAGCTTTTGGTTTTGGAAGAAAAGTATTCCTTACTTTCATGGCCTGTTATTCTGATTCTGTCCTGGTTTTGTATTGAATCTTGGTTGTAACATCCTTTTTTCCCATATGTAGAGAATGGCCTCATGTTTACTTTTGGAGATGGACGACATGGCAAGTTGGGCTTTGGAGAAGAGAGTTTTACAAACCTGTTTGATCCCACTCTGTGTTATAATTTCTTGAAGTTCACAGTGCTTTTGGTAAAACTTTTGTTCGTGCTTCTCTGACACCTTTTTATGAAACACGTTATTAATGAGAATTGAAATCTTATTATAGAAGTATTTATTTCTTTAACATTTAATTAGATGACAACACAAGTTGAAAGAAAAAAGAAATTATGTATGCTTACCTGTTTAGAATTTCTTTGGCTTGGACTACACATATAGACTCTTTTTTAACGTTTTATTCAGTATTTTTTTGCTATGGTGATTTGGTGTATAGAGCTGTGGTAGCCTATAAAATGAAATGTTTATTACTCTTAGATTGTTGGAATAGGGGGAAATTGATATCTTTTCTGAAAACACCGGAGTGTCACCTTTTCAATTTTGGCAATTTTAGTACAGCGGGATGTTTTTAAACCTTGAGAATATTTGAGGTTTTACTTTTTAGAATCCAAATGGTATGAGAAACAGAAATACTCTTTCATTTTAAGGGAATTGTTTTTGTCTATTTTTCAAAGTGTAGAAGAAATAAGTGTCACAGAATTGTCAGCTTCAAAAATGCTAACATGACTCAGGATTGAGCAAAATTTGGGACTAAAGTCTGTTTATCTTCTGTTTGTTTACTGGTATTAGAGTTTAAGGAAGTTTAATTAGAAGTGGTGAAGTTTTTAAACTTTTTAAAATGTGAAACTTCTGATCTTTGTGAAATAATATTGCATATATTGGAGAGATTACGATTTGCTTTACATTTTGTGGATTTTGAGATAAAACAACTAGATCTGTGTAACTGAAACCACCAGTATTGGCCACATTTGACTAGTATCAAAATAATTAGCTCAAATCTCTTGAAAATCAGTGGAAATATCTGTCTTTTGTTCTGTTCAATACAAATATATTGTGTTCAGCTAAGAAGAAGTGAAGATAGATCACTAGTCATTAGTGAACATAATTAGGGATTTTTATCTTGCTGATGTAATTAGGAGCAAAATTTAAAGCAATTTGGTATGTCTTACCTTTGTTGCATTTTTCTTATAATCTAAGACCCTTGAGATGATGTAAGAAAATGCCACTCTTGTATTGATACTTGAAATAATCAGACCTTTTTTTTGGAGCTGTAGGTTGCTTGTGGTGGTTGTCACATGCTGGTTTTTGCTGCTCCAAGACCTAAAGGATCTGAAGAAATACTCTTGGAAGATTTATATGAGAATCCTTTGACTGCTACCATCCCTAAAATGAGTGGAGACTTTGTACTGGCAGACACCTTGCAGCTGTCAGCAGCACGAATGCGACGTCGGGAGAGGGTAAATCCAGATCTGTTTAGAGCTGACATACTTCTTTTAGGAAACAAAATCACTTCTAAAGCTAAAAATCACACCATATACCCAACAGATAAATACATCGTCTTAAGATAAATGTATAATTTTAATGTATAAAAAGAAAAATTAGTATTTACCCTGATCCCAAAAATGGATGCAGGAAAAACATAGGTATTGGTCTGATTTTGCTTGTTTATTTCTGTGAAAAAAGTTCAAATTGTATTTTTTTTGTTGTTGTTCTAAAATGTAGAACCTGTTCCACTGCATTTTTAAAAATATTTTATAAATATTTTTAAATGATGCCAAGAACCTGACTCTTTTGTTGTTCCCTCCGAGCCCTTGAATATATTAAGCAAGTTCATAGTTTATAAAATATATAAGGAGAACATTTCACAATCAGCTTAAAATATCCCTAAATCCTGTAACTACTAAAAACAGTAGTCTTTTCAGCTTTATTTCCACTATGCATTCCATGTGATTCCTTTAAGTAGCATGATGAGTTGGATTATTTCACTTACCTCTCTGAAAACTAACTCTACTAAAATCTGCATTTGTTTTGTAAAAATGTATTGATGTTGTGGATTAAATATCTCAGTGTTATTTGAAAGAGTAGTTTTTCATTTTAAGTAGAAATTTTGAATATAAGTTCTTTTTCCCCTTTTTCTGTATTTTAAGATTGCTTGAAATTATTGTGTATAAACAATCTAAAAAAATCCCTCTATGTACCTGTCCACTTTTTAGGACTATAAATAATTGAAATATTGAAGATATTTTTTTCTGCTTTGTATAAAAATTATCATTGACTAAAAGAAAATACCACTATTTAATATGAGAAATTGCTTACATTTTGTTCTTCTACACTTATTCTCAATATATTCTTTTTATCTTCTAAAGGAAAGGTCACCAGAACAGTTTATTCGAATGGCACAAACTCTGCCCCCACTGGGAGAAAGGTTCTTAAAATCTTCATTGCCTATGACAAGCAACACTACCCCATTCAGTTTTTCTGCAACAAGTCTTCCTAAAGCTGAATCTGCGACAGATGGAGACAGTGAAAAAGGTGAAGTGTCCCCACATCTTGCTGCTGTCTTCTGATAAGTTTAGATTGGCTCTCATCATTCATAAATGATGCTCAGTTTGAGTATGAAAGGAGGTTTGAGTTCAGTCTTCACCACTTCACCACTTCTGATTAAACTCCCTTATACTCTAATTCCAGTAAACAAACAGAAGATAAACAGACTTTAGTCCCAAATTTTGCTCACGTCTTACCTCAAGAGCATACAGAGATGAAAGCTGAGAAATGCAGACAAAAAACTGCCTCACACTATTCATGTTTGGAAAACATGCTCAGAGATTTAGAGGAGGCTTGAGTGAAAGAAAAAACAACTTCTAAATTGCAGCTGTGGTTCCTTAAGCCTTTAGAAATAGGACTTCACAAAAAAAGACTGTAAGAATATTAACTGCTCTCTCCATTTTCACCAAAAAAAAGGGAATTACAGAAAAAAAATTGTTAGGGACAATTTTTAGGTAGAGACATGAAGGTCTACAAGAGAACTTGGATAAGAGAAGAGGTCTACTAATTCTTACAGGACTTTTCTTCTTTACTTGGAAATGCAAAATACTCTCTATTGTCTAAGATAATAAGGATTTATAATATTCTAGCTAATGCAAAAGCCTGGATAACCATAATACTGATGCAACACTGGACTTTTGCACAGATTCTCTAGAGCAGTTCTGGACTTATCTGGGTTCCTGGGCATGTTGAAGGAGCAGTGCTGAAGAGTGCAGAATGCAGTGCTTCTGTGTAAAGGTTAGCTCAGATTTATTGGACAGTCAAATCTAATTTGAAAGTAATTAATTCAGTTAAAATTAGTATGATTATTTGTAAAGCAGCCAGCATGTCCACTAGCATTTCTGGTTCCAGGAAAGCAATGCAGTGAAATTTGAATTGCCTTTAGAGCCTTCCTAGGCCTAAAACCTCAGGTTTTGTGCTGTATGGAATAGTCATACCTGATGGACTTGAGGTGATCCTGAAAATTAAATAGGAACATTTTTATAATGCTGCATTGGAGTTAATCTCACTGTCTCTCCATCCACTGCATGGGCAATGTGCAATGTAGAGATCATGACTGCAGCTAATTTGGTCTAATTGTTACACTATTATTCAAAAGATTATCCAAAAGAATCTATGTCCCATGTAATATTTATGCTTTGAAAGCCTGCAGAAATGGTCAGAGATCACCGAGACTAGATTGTTGATCTCATTACTAACCTCTAATGTTAACAATGAAGAAAAGGAGATGGAAGTGTTTTTTCTGTGTCTTAAGATGGGGGAATGAGGAATCTCAGTACTTCAGTTCTACGTCAGAAAATTAGAAATAATCTCTATTTTATAAGCGTAGGGTGCTCTGTTTGCTATATATTGATTTTCCCGATGGAATTTGTTCATTTCCCCCTATTTTACCTTGTAGAAAATGATCATCGAAAGGGTAAGCCTGGTGAAGCCTCTGCAGAAGAAGATTCAGATAATGACAGTACTGACAGAAACCTGGGAGATACAACTGACATCCTAAATATGGTAATATATTCCAATAATGGATCTGTAATTCAATCATTTTTTATGCAGAGGAAGACAAAGAAGCTAAATCACACTTCAAGTTCTAGTACGGAACTCCCAACTAGCCCAGAACATCCTATGTGACACCAAGAAGTACTGAAAGTAAAATGGGCAGGCATTTCATGCCATCATTATCCAATGCTAAAATATGTTCTATTATCCCAAGTAATGTTGTAGTTTGAGATTAAAGCAGTCCAAGTAATGCAGCCCCTACCCACTTTTTAGCTCTGGCAATCAGAAAGAAAAGGAAAAAGATGCCAGATGCCACATGGTGATCTTCATCTCTGACCTTGATTTTCTTGATGATTTCCAAGAGAGAATTGCAGGAAATGAAGCAGAAGAGCTATCTTTTCCTATTTCCAGAAGAGGTTTAGTACAGGTGGAGCATATTAAAGAGAAGACCGAAAAGCAGACATTTTGATTATTTGGTGATCCCCAAGCTTGTTCCTACATACTTCTTTTATTTAAAAAACATGTTCACCTTATCACTTGTACACTTTTCTAAAACAGTTTTGTTCACTCAGCAGAAAGGACATGTCCAGGCCTTAATGCAGTGCACTGGAAAGAGAGTTGGGTTTTGTCTTTTTTTAGCCTTTGATGGAATGGAAACTCTCTGTGAATTCAGCTCTGAATATATTGTCAGTTATGCTGGAGGGATTGCACATTTTACAGGAATTATTATTTGCTTGTACTTAAAAGTACTTAGTAATTTAACAGTCTGTTTGTACATACCATTTATTTTGCAGTTACGAAACTTGATTTACAAGACAAAAACATGTTTCCACATACAATGCACAGCCTGGCCTTATTTACATATTGCACACTTTATGAGCTAGATTTCCTTCTCCTTTTAGGTTTTGAGCTTATCATGAATCAATTTTAAAACATTTATCAGAATGAAACAGTAAGTTTGAAGAAAGCCCATCAGGCAAGCTTGTCAAAATGCAAAATAAAATGATCACTCTTCTTGAATTTAAATGAAAATACCCTGATATAGCGTAGTTGCCTCAATTTTTCTAGACTATGGCAACATGTATCTTATTGACGAGTGTGACAGGTGGAGGAAAACCTTTAATGTCATATTGATGATACAAATTTTTGGAAGTCTGAAACCACAACTGTGATGAAAAAGATTATGATGATTAAGGCAAAAGCAGTTAACAAACAGCAGCAAAGAACATTATCTGATCATTTGGAAATATGACCAAAATCTCACTATACATGCCCACCTAGTAATATTCTGCCTTACCTTTTGGTTTTTTGCTTTATGTAGAAGAGAGATTCCAAGGAGAATTGTCTGCTGTGTAATGTTCCTTTTAACATATTCTTTCAAGGCTGTGGTATCAAACTGGATGTTGAGTTGAAGGTTGTGATGATCAGGTGTTATATTTGTAGCCTCAACTTCATGGCGAGTGGAAAGTGGATCTCAAATGTGCTTGTGGGCTTTCAGTCTCTACAGACCATCTAGGCTGGTTACCACTCACTTTATAAGTAGTAAATGAAGGAGTGGAAGTGAAAAGGAGAGTTTAATGATCATACAGATTTGTCTTAACCTAACTACAGTAATATTAAAATGTTCATAAAATAGCTCTGTTTAGTAGAACTGAGCTTTGATGCTACTTTACCTGTTAGTTATATATATATATATATATATAAATTTTTTTTTTTAATAAAGATCTTATTTTTTGCAGACACATGCTATGAAATTGAATCCTGGTGACTGGTCTGTAGAATTATCACCCCTCCAAAAACAGAAGGTACTGTAACTAATTATATACATGTGTATTTACACTGATGTTCAAAAAAATCTGCAATTCTTATGTTATCCTGGTACTGCATTGTTTTTGCAAGGCAAAAAAACTAGACAAATTTATTGGCCTCCTCTTGCTAATTTTCTGAATATCCAATTCTAAGCTAAAATTCTAAGAAGCTGACTGAAGTCAGAGAGAATTTGTGCAGGCACATAGAACTCCTCAAATCCAGTGTGGTTTGAGATGAGAGTATATAGAGTTTCACCAGTTTAAGGAGAAAGAGACACAAATACACATTTCACATACATTCATTTCTACTGGTTTGTTGGTACGAAAATATTTCAATTGACTTTTGGGACACAGTGTAAGTAAAAACTTTACTGACAGATATTCACCATAGATTATATTTAAAGAAGCAAAATTACTGGATTTAATCATGAAGTTAAAATACTTTGTATTACCTTCTTATTTCACTCCTAAAGTGATCCCGTCTTTTCAGCATTTTGTTATATTTCTTTATAATGTTATTTTAGGTTTTAAAAATTATTCTGCAAAATTTGTTAAATAAGCATACAATTTAAAGCAGAAGGGCAGCAGATTTTCAAACTTCTTAGAAGGAGCATAGCAGAGAGTGCATCAGAAGATTTTCCAGGGGAGAGGTGGAGGAAGGTGTAAAAGAACTGAACTTACTCCTTCTGTTTGCCGTAACCTCATGAGAAGTGGTACTGGATGCACAGTCCTTCCTGTATTCCCTTGCAGTGCTGGCTTAGTCAGAAAGGTGTAGCAACACATGAATTATTAACAGAATGTTACTTCTTCTCATAGATGCACTGGCAAATTAATTTCATGTGAAATATGCTACTTTTTGTGCTGTCTTTTAATCCCCTCGCACAAATTGTTTCTTTTCTTGTTCAGATGCTTTTGTAACTTTTTTCTTTTGCTGTCATTTGTCTTTAATGCTTTTTTTTTCTTTCTTTTTAATTTTCTGCTTCTCGTGTGGAATAGAAGAACAATAAAAATGTGAAACTGAAAAGAGATGGTAAGGGTGGGCTGAAAAACAAAGATTCTGATTGCACAAAGGAGGGCTCAAAATTGGACTCTGGCTCTTTACAAAAGCAGTCCTCACTTTCAGAGTCACCAGGACAAGATTTAGAAAAGAGTGGTGCCTTTGTAGGGAAGCCTGTAGCCAAAAAAAAACCAACAAAAGGTAAATCTGAGTACGCACAAAGTGTTAGTACTTTGAAAAGGGGTGTTCAACAAGTGACTGGGGACAAAAGCAGGTTAGTGAAAAGCGAAGAAGAATATGTGGAAAATCCTGAATTTTTCAGAGAGGATGTAACTTATAATTTTCCAACTGAAAATCAAGTTCTGTCTGAAAGGACAAATTCTTCTGATAAAAAGTCAAAAGCCATTAAATCTAAGCAATCCCTTAAAATAGAGGTCCGTCCTTCTGCATCCAGAGATCATCCCCGGACTGATGATTCCTTAATTGTAGAAAAATACAATCCCGTTCAAAAGGAAGAAAGTCGAGAAGCAATAAAAAGTCAAAACAAAATAAAGGATGTTGCTGAAAAATCTGAGAAGAGTGAAAAAACACACATCAAAGGAGAAGAAAGTAGTACAGAGAAGATAGGGTTTAAAATATCTGTAACCATGTCATCGTCTTCAACTGAGGAAAGTAGTTATGATCTTGAAAAGTATGTGCTTAAGCGTAGGAAGAAAGAAGAGGACTACAGTGAAGGCAGAGACATCCAGAAGATAAGAACAGTAGAAAACGTGGAAGATTTGGACTTAGGAAAAGAAGACAGTGAGATTGAGGAGATGCAAATAAGAAACAATGAGAAAGATTGTGTAGAAGAGACTGATTTAAAAAGCCAGAATGAGGAAGAAACAAACTCTGATGCTAAATCTGATGAAGATGGGCAGTTAGAAATTAAGAACGGGGAGGATTCTGATCAAGAGCAGGAGAGTAGAGGCAGTGAAAAGGGTGAAAGTGAAAAACTAGATGAAGCAATTGACATTGAAGGTAAACTAGGGGAGGAAGAAGAAGACAGTGAGTGTAAGAAAGGCAGAGATGAAGTTTCAGCAGAAAAAGATGAAGATGAGGAGGAAAAAGATAATGAAGAAAATGGAAGACAGGAATCACAGGCTGAGAAAGACAGTGAGAATGAGAGTGCAGAGGAGACTGAAGAGGTTAATCAGGAAGATGACAAAGATCAAGGAGATGACCAAGGCAGGCTGATGGAGGAAGAAGAAATACTGAGTGAGGGAGAAAAGGAGGATATGGAGAAGTATGCAAAAGAGGAAGGCGCTGAAAAAGAAAAGGAGGAGCAGATTAGAAGTGAGGGAAGAAATGAGAGTGAGGAAGGAGGTGAATATAGAGAGGGGGAGGAAGAAAAAGAGGCAGAGACAGAAGAGGAAGGAGAGGATGAGAAGGAAGATGAAGAAGAAAATGAAGAAAGGGAGAAAGAAAAAGACAAAGAGGGTGAAGAGAAGGAGTTAGGAGAACCATTGGCAGGGAAGGAAGAAGAAGTATCTGAAGAAGAACAGGAAGAAGAAGATATGAGGACTAAGGAGGTGGAGGAGGATGGAGTGGAAGAAGGAGAAGAGGGAGAGGGAGAGGATGAAGTGGAACAGGAAAGAAAAGATGAGGAGAAAGAAGTAACAGAGGCAGAAGCAGAAGAGGAGGAGGATGGAGTGGAAGAAGGAGAAGAAGGGGAGGATGAAGTTAAGGAGGAAAGAAAAGATGAGGAGAAAGAAAAAGGAACAGAAGCAGAAGCAGAAGGGGAGGAGGGTGGAGAAGACGAAAAGGAAGAAGAAGAGGGGGGAAATGAAGAAGAGGAAGAAGGAGTAGAAGAGGATGAGGGAGTGGGGGAGGAAAAAGAAGAGGGAGTTGGAGAAGATGAGGAAGAAGAGGCAGTGGAAGAAGAGGGAGATGAGGAAGAAGAGGCAGTGGAAGAAGAAGAGGGAGATGAGGAAGAAGAGGCAGTGGAAGAAGAAGAGGGAGATGAGGAAGAAGAGGGAGAAGAGGTAATGGAAGAGGAAGAGGGAGATGAGGAAGAAGAGGGAGTGGAAGAAGAGGAAGATGAGGAAGAAGGAGTGGAAGAAGAGGAAGAGGAGGGAGAAGAGGGAGTGCAGGAAGAAGAAGAAGCAGAAGAAGATGAAGAAGCAGAAGAAGAAGAGGAAGAAGAGGATGAAGAGGAAGGAGAGGAAGAAGAAGGGGCAGGGGAAGAGGGAGAAGAAGAAGGGGAAGAGGGAGAAGAAGAAGGGGAAGAGGGAGAAGAAGAAGGGGAAGAGGGAAAAGAAGAAGGGGAAGATGGAGAAGAAGAAGGGGAAGAGGGAGAGGGGGAAGAAGAAGAGAAGGAAAGGGATGTAGGAGAGGAGGAAGAAGAGGATGAGGAAGAGGAGAAAGAAGAGGATGAGGGAGAGGAGGAAGAAGAAGAGGAAGAGGAAAAAGCAAAAGATAAAAGAAAAAATTATCATAATAAGCTTCCACAAAAGAAAAGCAAATCCAGGAAGACAGAAAAGACAGAAAGTACTGCTTTACCAAACAACTCTAAACAAATCATGAAGTCCAAACAGCATGTAGCAAATGGTTTACATAATTCAGAACAATTTTGGAACAATGTGCTACCTCATTATTTAACGCTAAAATAGCATAGACTACGGGACATGCATTTTAAGCCTGTTCAGAAAACTTTGGAATGATGGCAGATTGATTTTTATTACTTAAAAGAAACTTCTAATGTAGTCAAAATACATTATCATGCATTTAAGTGCCATTTACTTGAAAAAGACTGAGAAAATGTTTAGATTTGGGAAACTTTTATAAGAGAAATCGTAAGTTGTTGATACAGTCATTTTTACAATCACATTTATCATGGATGACACAGATTTAAAAATAATTGCTGAGGAGGTAAACTGTGTTTGCCTCTTAATTAAATTGTAATGTTGTGTTTGACAACATGAATTATACATTGCAACAGTGTAATCTTCTTTGCCTTTGAATCAATACATAAGTATTAGTTGCAGGACAGCTCACTTATTAATGTGCCTTATATGAAAGGAGTGTCAGTAAATTAGCAAATACACATACTTTTAAATTTTGGTGTCAGTCCATATTTATTCCTCCTACTTTTCTTCTGTTCATACATTGGTAAAATGTTTGAGTACTCAGCATCAATTAAAGAAAAGACAAGTTGCCAAATTTTGGGTCAGCTGATGGGAGGTAAATGGAAATGCAGTCCTGAGTAAGTGATGACCTGCGGTTTTTCAAAGGCCTTAAGGCTGACTAATAATGTTGGTGTTTGGCACACAGCCATGTGTTGTGTGCCAAAAGTCTCAGGATCTGGCCTAGCTTATGTTAGAGTCAGAATGTATCTGTTCAGGGATAACTTTAACTATCACCCTTGGTGAAAAGAATTTGAAAATACACTTGTAAACTTTTTTTACGTGTTTATACTGTGCAGCACACAAAAGATTCTATATCTGCCTACAAAACACTACATTGCTTTAGTCATCTAACTCTAAGGTTCTCAAGAAGGGTTGCTATGTGAAGCATATACATGTTTTCAGTATCTGAGCCAAAGCTTTTCCTCACTGGAGGAGATCTGTGCTTTTCCCTCCTAAAAAAATCACATCTCTGATCTCTCAAAAGAGTTAGAGCTATAAGCCAGATGGAATAGTAAAGAAAGTGGCAAGAAAGTCTGAATTCTTTTCTGAAAAGACAAGGTTAATACTTCTGGAGTTTCCTTTTAAAACACAAACAAATCTTTCAAGTTATTTTTGTAAGATATTGCATTACTGTTTCAACTATTGGGAGTTGAACTGGCAAATGAAGAGATAGGGACTCGTCACACAGCCCTGTTACTTAAATTCTATGCTAATGGGTGGTCTGGGAAATTTTTGTAAACAGAACACAGTATTGACATTCATTTTCTAGAAAAATAGTTACTTAAGTGCTATTTGAAAATGAGAACAGGAGAAGAAAGAAATCAAAATGAGTAAATGTCATTCAATAAAAATGTTAATGGAATCAATACTTATGTTGAGATTATGAAACATTTTTGATACTGTTTTGAAAGATGCTGGCATTAAACTCTCTTTGACACAATGTATCCAGAATTTATTTTTTAAAAAGCCTATAGTAGATTAGTAGTTTGCCAGTAGATTGTAGTCCAGTTTGATCCTTCCTACCCCATTCACCCCTTCCATGTTCCACATTTGAAGGTAAGATCACTTTGGTCATGTGCCTTGCATAACTACAACAAAAAGTTAATCCAGTGACTGTATTTTGTCCCTGTGAAACATGTTTGAAACGTTGGAATTCTCTGGAACACATTGCCTTGACATCAGCATGTGTCTTTGAAACAGGGTAAGTGTCCTCATAGTCTGATAGAGTGCAATATTTTAATAGTTAAAGGCACTTCCCAAGAAAACAGCTCTAACAACCGAGCCGTCAGCAGTGCTGCTCTGTCACTGAACTCCTGTGAAAATACTTCCTTCTGAAACTAAGTGGAGCTATGATGTGTTATTTTATCTTTCTTAGGAAAGATTAGGATGTCACTGTGATTAAACCTAGAGTAATATTGAGAAGTATTTTTATGGGCCTAAAACTGGGTTTCTTGGATATAACATCTAGGTCTTTGTGATGCTAGAATTCATCTTTGGAAGAAAACTGTGCTATGAAAAAAATCTGTTATTTCTTGTTAAAAATATTTCCTAGAGAGAGGGAAAAAAAGGTGAGAGCACTTTGAAGCAAGTGATTTCCAATTCCACATAGGAATGGCTCTTCATTCACTGTTTGGCTCTACCATTTCATCTTAATTCCTAGGCAAATGAGGACCATTTATTGTTCCTCTCTTAAGGTGCTGATCGAATAAAGTTTTCCCAGAGAGTGAAGGGAAGCCAGCTCAGGGGCATCTCCTCTTCTTTGTTTTGTCTGGATGAAAATTCACTGATCTGAGAACTGATTTTATGTAGTTTTGTGGATCATTCCTGTGGTGGGGGAAAAGCAGAGCATTACTGCAGCACTTCCAAGGGTTTTCCACAGAATCATTACATAAATTGTACACTGTGCCAATGTTTCTGGGCTTTGATGGGACTTTGGAACTCCATCAGCGTAACAAGTGGAATTTTATTTAATTTAACTCATACTGGTTTATGAAGTTTGTTACTTGTGGTTTTGTGAAAATTCAGTATGTCCTTGGTATTTATTGTGACATACAAAAAGATTTATGTGCAGCACTGAGGCAATATGGCAGAAATGCTCCTGAACTATTTCTTAGTAGAGAAAAAAAAACTTGCAATAGTGAAAGAAAACAACAGACAACTGCTCAGATATCTTTATTTCTACCAATGGCTACTGGTAAATGCCTGAGAAAAAAATATTAGAATGGCACAAACATGTAGTGTTACCTCTCCTGTATAATTATTCAAATAGTACATTTGAATGTACTAAATACATTCAGTATATCAATATACATTTAGTATAATCAAATACCAAATGCATTCAGTATAATCAATAATTTGTGGTTCAGCAGATATAAGTATTATATTTAACAACCATTTTCCTTCCATGAATTTCTTTCAATCGATTTTTAACCCATTTAGCAGTACATATTTTGGAAAATAATTCTTACATTTCTTTACACGTTGTTTGAACGAGTAACTTCTTTTTTTGTCTGAATCCATCTTTTGATACCTTTGTATCCTTAAGGGAAAAAAAGGCATTTATTTCCTCTTCATTATTTGTTCCCTAATGATTGTCACATGGAAAAACTGATAAGCTCTGTGGTTTAAGTCGAGTAAAGAATTGGTGATTTATTGATTTATTAATCATTGTTAACCAGCAATCAACCAGCTACACATTCAGTTCGAGAGCAGCAATACAGCAGGTGACAGCAACATTAGACATCCATAAAATGTTGATAAGCAACCAAGAATTTCTAAGCACTCCTCTGCAGCTCATCTCAGAACTTTTAATCCCCCTGCGCACTTTCACAGACATGTTCACAAAGTTACATATGCACATTCCACCTTTTACAGCAGGCATTAATTACAAGCACCTCTGGCACTTTCAGTGGGGCAGGGTGCAAGTCTGCTCCTGCCTCACAGCTCTTGTCAGAGGTGAGGGTGCTCTGGGTGACTCTGAAATTTGCTGTAGCACAGCTCTTCTCTTATGCCTGCAAAATTTCAGCAGGTAAGTTTCTCCATTATATCTGAAAATATCAAACCATTTATTCAGATAGTAGTTCTCTTTGCATAATTGATGCTGAATAATAAAAATGTCCTTCCCCAAGCTTCAGAAAGTGTCTGGGTTTCATTCGCTACTTTTTGTTCCAGTTTCTTGTCTGAATAGGTACATGGATATTCTTTAAAATGGGGGCCTTTCAGAATCATGCGGAAAAGAACACCTAGTTTTTGTTTTCATTGCTTTAAGTTGGTTTCATTTCCCTTTTTAAGATAAAATCTCTCCCAATATGATAATACCTTCTAGATCTTATCTCTCAAATAACATTATGGGAAGCTGAATCAAACTCAGAAATAACAGGATCTTCAGACCCACAAAAAATGAAAAAAAAAAAAGGCAAAGTAAATGTAAAAGGGCAAATTTTCAACTAATATCTAATCATAGAATTCAAATAAATGACAGTGTTTAGTACTATGGCATCCTGTGAGCAGCTAGGCAAACACTTTGCTTGCACAAATGGCAAACCAATAGTTTTTGTCCTCAGTGAAGTTCCGAGCGTGTTCATGATCTGAAGTCACTCACTGAGCTGTAATATTTTCATGCACTTCTTCATATGTTTTAATGGAGAGAGGAGAAGTTAACTTTTGCATATTGAAGGGATTTTAGAGAGATAGCTTTGGCATAAGAAAATTGCACTGCTGAGAGCAACAGAGGCTTTATTTTTCTGTTGCCAAAAGAAGCAACAAGTACAGTTAATCACTGTCTTTTTTCCAAGAATTTATGATAGTACCCCTTGCTTTTTTGCTTGGCAACCTCATGCTATAATAATTTAAACAAATATTGATACCATTATCTCAAACCTCCATACTTAGTTATGAAAATATTTATTGTCAGGACCCTGAAATGTCGACTTTAAAGATATTTGCCATTCTGCCTTTCACGTTTTTCATATTTTTCCAGCACTGAAAAATCAGAAATTACTCTTTCTGTCTGAGGTGGATTGCAGGGTAATCGTCTGGAATGTCCCAGGTTCAATGTTATGTGTTTAGAGCTTTATAATTTGTCATGACTACTGCACCTTTCACACAGAGTTGCATTTGTGGTTCGTGTGAAATATAAAGTATTTGTGATGTCATATGGAGAGTGTGAGAAGGATAGCTCTAAGCAGAATTTTATATTAAATGAACAGTTTATCTGTGCCTATTCCTGTAAGGATATAGATCACAATAGTATTGAAGACTAATGCTTCAAATTCCCTGTGTACCCATGTTAGTAAAAGAGCCTGTGCTGTGCTGTTCGACTGGAAAGTGAACAATAATGACCAACTTAATAGGAGTTTGGGATTGTGAGCCACCCTGGCACAGGCTGGCTTTCTTACTGGAAGTATAAAATACTTTACTTTCATTCTATCCAGCACCTATCCAAGGCAAAAAGCTAAATTCATAATTAGAAACACAGCAGCAGAACTGCTGCAAAATTTAATCTCCTTTACTAGGCACTTCATTATCATCTGTGAGGAGAAAAAGAACCAAACAAACCTGAATGTGTCCTGCATCCAGCCGTGCCTTAAAACCAGCCTTCGGGTGGCTGGGCAGAACTCCCACAAGTGCTGGCATGGTGTGGAAAACAATTGCATGGCGAAAGGTGGTGTGACTTGCATTACCACGTTTGGGTGAGCCTTGAAAAGTCTGCAAGGTGAGAATGGGCTTAAATGTTAGAGATGGTTGTGTAGGAATTGCCACTTTTACATCAGAGTATTTTTGAGTGGGGGCTCTCCCCAAGAAGCCCAGTCTTGCAGGCTGTGGAGGTTTTATCAGTGAACTGTGGGACATCCCTTTGAGGAATGTACAGTCAAAGAATCTTAAAAAACCTTCCTGCCCGCTCTGGTGTTTTGGTGAAAATTTGCCTTTACCAGTATTTTAATGCAAGCACTGAATAATAATCAGCATGATTAAGGCAGGATTTCAATGGAAAGTGCAGGATTTTGGAGAGAAATGCAGTACTCTAAGCTACGTGCACAATAAAAGCAGAAAGTAGTGACTGTCCTCATTCACTTGCGAATATGTGGGAGCTGCATGACAAACTCCAGACACCAAAACTACTTCTATAAGGATTTGGAAAATATGCACAATCTGCATCCAAGTGGGGGCTAATATTCCCAAGTTTTTTTTTTTTTCTCCATGCCTGGTAGCATTAAGAATTCATTTTATGCATTGTAGTGTCTTCCAAAGACACAGTAAGTTTTTCAGATAACATCAACATATTCTAATTTGCAGTTGCTCATTATATTTCATCTGTTTTGCTTAAGTACCCAGGAGTTATTTTGGTATGCTATTTCTGGGTGACTGAATATTAGGGGGTATTTATGTTGCTGTGTACAATAGCTCGTAAAAGATTACACTTGATGTAAATGTCTCCAACTTGTTTTATGATTTTCAGAAAAGACCTTAAAAATTCTTTCTTATTCTCTACAGTGGTTTTTTTTTCCTTTTTGCCATGGAAATTTGTGTTATTTATTTGTTCTCCACATAAAGAAAACTTTCATGAGGAGGTAACAGTTTTGTATATGGAAACTGCAGTACATCCGAGCTATTTCAGATGTTGATTTATTTGGGGAATAAATAAAAAATTCATTCTGAGTTGCTGGGGAAAGAGAATCATTTAGATAACTCTTTTGAAATTTGTAGAGGATAGTCAAAATCTGACACAAAAATAAAGTACAAATACTTTTTCACAATGAAGCTTTCCATTAAAATTTTATTCATTGATAAGTAGTTATTTTTACTCAAACAAGAATACAGAGATATACCTTTCTCCAGATACATCTACAGCATCAAGGTGGCAAGCTACAAAATAATTACACCAGAGCCAACTCAAATAATTTTTAGGATAATGCCCTCCAAAAATTACTGTCTGCTACTCTGAAATAAATGTCTGTGTGCAGTCTCAGAATGACACCTAAAGTCTTGATTAATAAATGTGACCAGATTAATTCTCTTAGTGCAAAGTATGTGCACTGCCAGCCTGTGACAAAAGTGCACAAATGGAAACTTGTGGGAACTTGTAGGCCCTTGTGTTTGGCATTTAGTAAATAAAATATGTTGCATAAGTTTTGGCAGAAAAAAGCTTAGTAAAACAAAATGGAAAATTAGTCTGTCCAGTCAGTTTCTACAATGCTGTTTGCAGCTGTGTATGTACTATTTTATTCCATTTTTCTCAGAATGACACCATCCTGTTGAAGGGCACTATTGGGGTAATTGGCCGTCACATGTCCAGGGTAATCACTGTATCACTATGTGGGCATCTGGTACTTCGATATGTTTTTTTCCATCATATTTACAGGAAGGTGTAACTGTCTTAAAAATTCAATTTTTGACTGACATTTAGCAGTGGAAACTCCTGCCTGACGTCAAACTGATTTGCAGCTGTTTCACTGCACTGTGTGCCTGAAATTACGAGTTCAGTGTTGCATTAGTATTCCAGGATACTTTCAGAACAGCAGCATTAAGAGGCTGTTAAAAGTATCAGGTGATCCATGTCAAGGGCTCTTGACACAGAATTGTACAGTTAGAAAACCAATATAACTGACTTGAAGTGTAAATTTCAACTTTTAGACAAGTTATGGTGCAAGGCTCAGCTCTTCACTCAAAATTCTTTTAAGTGTATGTAGCCGAGCTGTTTATCTCCTTGACAATGTGTAAGGAAAGCCTAGTTTGGCTTGTTGACTGCCTCCCTTGTTCTTCACAGAAAGAGTGATAGGGCATTGGAATGGGCTGCCCAGGGAGGTTGTGGAGTCACTGTCCCTTGAGGTGTTTAAGGAAAGACGGGACGTGACAGTGCCATGGTTTGGTTGACAAAACACTCTTATCATCTGCTAAGAGTCTTCTCCTTCATAAGGAAACTCCTACTTGGTATTTATATCATTCAGTTGTTGTATAGACATGTTAGAGGGCCATGGCATGTTTTTGGGCATCTAGAGGTAATGGGCCGGGTAGGTAATGGGAAAAATCTTTTCCTTAAATGCTGGTTTATGGCTGCTTAGCAGAACACCACCAAGGAAGAAACATGTAGCTACCCACCTCATTCTCAACTGTCTTTATTAATCTTCATCTGGATTTTTAACAGTTTCCAAGGCAACTAAGAACAGAAACATCTTTCTAAACCGGAGCTTCCCAGAACTCTCCATTTCAAGTGGTATAAAAATGAATTACAGCTTTCTCTTCATCACTGAGTTTTTACCAGATTTTTAAAAAATCTGCAACTAAATTTGTCTCATCAGTGGCTTTGAGATTTTCTTCCCTAGAAACATAAAATGGTGGTGGCAAACATTATTTTGACTTCTTGAGGAGATGTGGAAAGATACCATGAGCCTTCCCTTCTGAAATGCTAATTGTGAGCAGCTTGTCTGCTAGAGCTCAGTTTCCATAAATGATGCAGGAGGGATCCATGATGAAATAGTTACAGC